TTCCAACGAGAGAAAATAACGATGCATATTTGAAAGTGATTATAAAAAAGTGAATAGTAGCACGCAGTACTTTTCATTCATAACTCAAATCTGAACTTTAGCTATACCTTTAATAATATACTGTTTTCTGTTCTTAAGATTTTGTTAACTTACCTCGAGATTATATCTCATTGCACACAATCTGCGCCAGGTCTATAAATGCATCAGTCAACTATATAAATAATCCAGTGGCGGATCTAGCTATTCGGCGAACCGGTGATCGCCACCCCCTCGAAAATAGATACTTTGACAAATACTGAAAACAAGTAGGACAGTATAGGTTTCTCCCCCAAAAAAATAATACTACTTCCCACTTTTTTTTATGAACCACCACCCTCTCATGGAAATCCTGGGTCCGCTCCTGATTAAATAATCATAAATAGAATTCTCCTGTTCAACTCATCGTTATTTTTCACCTTGTTGAATTTGCCATGAATTTTCTTCTCCATGATCATACAATTTATGTAATTCTAAATCATCATTTGTTGGTAATAACTCAGAAAAATCATGCATTGGATAATTATGTATTAATTTACTATCAATAATTCGTACTTCACCCCATTTACGTATACCATGAAAAATATTTAAAACATAATTAATTAATTCATGCATTAATTGTTGAACTTCATCAATACTTGGATTTAGAACAATCATTGATGATTGTAATTCAACGTTAGTTAATATTAATGGATATTTTCTATTATCATTTCTATTTGCATTTGCATCAATAGTATCAAGAGGATATAATCGAAGTTTTTTTAATCGAGGTTTCATTTGTATTCTAATTACCAATAATTGGTGGATGATCTCTTTCAATATTTGGTGTATTTCGACATTGATTATAAATATTTTTTACTTTCTAAATAAATCAAAATTTTTTCCTTCAAATAAATTCTTTGTATTTATTTACTTCAAGTTCTTCTTTTTCATACCATTGAATAATATCAATTAAAAATTCGGTTGAATCAAAAAATGGTATATGTAAATTTTCATAACGTACAAGTAATTTAAATGCATTATAAGAATTATGTGATGGTGAATGAAGTATATGATGAAGATCTTTATGAAATATTTGATAAAGTTTTTGCTAGAAGAATGAAAATTAATTAAACAGAATTTTATTTTCGTATCTTTAATTACATCAATATCAGAAAGAATATCATTTAACTGATTATAGAATAAATCAAATTGTTGATTATCTGGATCGAATAGATCAAATTTTAATGTAAAAAAATCTGATTGAGTTTTATTATAAATTTGTGTAATTTGTTCAAGACCATCAATTCGTGATTGTGATAAAAGTGAATAAATTTCAAATGATTCGATTATTTCACGAAGCTAAGAAATAGAATTTATATTTTGAACAGCATATCAGAAAAAAACTAATTTTACTTTATTTAAACGTTGATTAAGAAAATGAAGTTTACCAAGTACATGACGTTCTGATAAATGTTCATGACTTTGATCAACATAATGATTTTCAATTTTTTCTTTCATTTTTAAAAATAATTTTTGACATGTTTCATATAAATTATTTATCTGATTAACACGTTTTAATAATTCTTGTGTATCAATTAATCGAATATCAATTGTATGATTATTAGTCAAATAATTTTTACAGCTTTTTACAATTTGATTATTTATCTAGGTTTAAAATTTTCTATAAAGAAAATAAAAATTAATTCAATACATACAGTAACAAGTAGACTAGCGATTTTTTCCGGTTTAGAATAAAATTCTGAACAAGAATGAATCAGGACTATAGTATTGAGTAGACTGTTAAGATTCTCTTGAATTTCATGCTAAAATAAATAGAATAATACAATCATTGTTTCTTTAATGAAGATTAATATTCTTAATAAATTATCGATAATTTACTTATGAAATATGGGCGAAATGTAACTTAATAGTTCCTTATAATTTTAATTGCGGATGTGAATGAGAATATAGAAAAGAAATCCACACCCTCACCCTCACCCAGGGGCAGATTTAGGATTTTGGAAGGGGGGGGGCGATTTTGGCTAAAAGCTATTTTGTGAGTCCAATCGAAGTAGTGTGAACCTATTTTTTCGTTCATTTTTGCTGTAAAAAATCAAAAAAAGTTTTTGGAAGGGGGCGATCAGTCCCCCTAAATGCGCCACTGTCCTCACCCACAACCACACCCTTCTCTTCTAGTAAGTGATACCAAAAAAACAAAATACATTTACCGGATTATTACAATATAGTGGTGCAATATATTTTGCTACGATCATTAAAAATTTATAATGATCACGTGCTTCATTTATACTTTGTGTTAATTTTTTATCAATTTCTCTCCATTCCTTAAAATAGCATATTTTAATGAAATTTTTTTTTATGAATTAATTTTTCTACAAACAAGTGAACGTGGACTAGCAGCAATATTTAGTAGATAAATAACTGCTCGATTATAAGGTAATCGAAGTTGATTCATAATATGATGTATTTGTATAATCTGTTTTCTCCAATATTTTATTTCATTTAATGGGCCTGAATTAGACATTATTTGTCGAACAGATATACTTTTTCGATAAAACTATAAAGAAAAAATAATTTATCCAAATAGAAGAAATATATTTCATATACATTATTAATCTCTTTTATCCATTCAAGAATTATTTCTTCTGACTGTTGAACTAATTCCGTATCTTGTGCAAAACGTAATAATGAATTCGGATGAATAATTTCTTGTGTATCGTGTCTTAAACGTATAGGAACATTTTGTAATTTTATACAATCAACAAATGATGTATGTATTGTTCGAAAAAAATCTGCATTTTGTTCCATTTGATAGATTAAGTTATATTTTATTCGATCAGTATTTTCATTGACTAAATTTAATCGATTCCATTCTTCAGCTTTTTTTATCGACGGTAAATAACTAAGTAAAGCAGTTTCGAGATTCACCATTAAGTCAAAATTTTGTTCATCAAAATTCATAGAAAAAATAACTAATTCCTATAGAATACAAAAAAAAAATAGATCGGTGTTCAGTTCAGGTGGAAAGCATAGAGACAGTAATCATGTTATCAATGAAAAAATATTTCGAATCTATATAATTAACTATAGGCAACTCATTTTTGTCATACATACATTTTTAAAATTTTTATCTGTTAATTTTATTGTATTTGGTTTAATAAAAAGTACACCACCATCATCAAATGGTTTATCTATTCCTATCTAATATTATATTTTATATAAAACTATAAGAATGGATAAATATTTATGACATACTTTAATACAAGTTTCTTCAGTTTTAGTTGATCGATTCAGATGTGATAAAACTAGAAGATAAAATCTATTTTCTAATTTATATCAAAGATAGTTACCTATATTCGATCCTTTACTAAGACGATTTCGTTCTTGAAGATCACAGAAAAATATTGGTAAAATATGAGTATCTGGATCATTAAAAAAACGTTGAATAAGATTCCACTATAAAGAAATAAAATGAAATTATTCAAAGATTTTCTCAAACATACATTTTGTGTTTCTTGACAATATTCAGCAATTAAATTCGATTGAGAATTAAAAAAAAATGCTAGAATCTCAAAAAGAAATGTATGAATATTATTAATTGTTTCATTTGTAAAAATATCATCATTTGGATTATCTTTTTCTATGCGTATTTCTTCAGCAATAACTGATTCAATAGTTGTCTGTTGTTCATTAATTGGTTCTACAAGAACATTACTAGTTTCTGTTTCCAACTGTATAATACCTTCAGTATTAGCCATTAATAATTGTAAAGTATTATATAATAAAAAGCGCGTTTTTTTGCTTAATAACGAAGAAATTATATAACTTTAATTTTGTTCGATGGTCTTTAGAAATCTGTTTTTCGCTGTGCATAATCGCGTCATCTATTCGATTCTTATTTTGATAACTCACACACCAATCAAACGATCAATTACTTATGATAATGAAACCTTGATTTTGTTCGATAATCTTGATAAATTTGTTTTTGTTATGCATGAATGCGACTTTTGCTTTCATATCTCACACCAATCAAACGATCAATTATGTCTATTCTTTAGAAATGGGCGTGAGTAAGCACATGTTAGCTATTCTCACAGGTTCTTTAAAACTAAAAGCGACTCTTTTGATTTAGTGTATTTTCTATGATATTATTTTTAGATGGTGAATGAAATGCTTAAGAAAGTTTGTTCAGGATTACCATTAAATCCTTTACCACCAGCAAAAAAACCTCGTAATACCAATGTACCACATGCACCAGATAGAAAACCATCGCTTACTAATGAAGAACGAAAGGTTATTTATTTAATTTTCATTAAAATTTTTGTCTTTTTAAATTATTCGATTTCAGTTAGCAATTAAAAATGCACTTCGATATTTTCCTTCGAATATTCAACCGCAATTAATTGATGAATTTCAATATGAAATGGATACCTATGGTCATATATATATGTATCGATTTCAACCGGATATTGAAATGCGTGCATATCCCATTGATGAATATCCATGTAACTGTAAAGCAGCTGCAGGCATTATGTTAATGATCATGAATAATTTGGATAGAAAAATTGCTCAATTCCCTGATGAATTAGTAACCTATGGTGGAAATGGACAAGTTTTTGGTAACTGGGCTCAAGTAAAAATAGATAATATGGATGATTGAAAGATTTTAAGTTTATGAAATATTTTAGTTCTGTTTGGTTATGAATTATTTGAGTATAATGACAGATGAACAAGTTCTTGTTATGTACTCGGGACATCCATTAGGTTTATTTCCAACTAGAACTGAATTTTCACCACGTGTAGTAATTACAAATGGTTTGGTATGTTCAATAAGTTCTAGATCGAATTTCAATAATTATTTTAACAATTAAGGTAATTCCAAATTATTCATCCACGGATGATTATGAACGTATGTTTGCACTTGGTTGTACAATGTAAGTTTCAAAGAATTGATGTCAAGATAAAGAGATAAAAAAATGATGTGTAGGTATGGTCAGATGACAGCTGGATCATATTGTTATATTGGTCCACAGGGAATTGTACATGGAACATTTGTATGTAATAATAACGAGGAGGTGTTGGGACGTACTTAATATATTGATTAATGGGAAATGGGATAACATAATTAAAATCAATACGTATGATTTATCATTTAATAGTACTTCTTGAAATCTTGTAATGATATATAATTATTTTGTAAATAATCAGCATGTATTAATAAGCTTAGAAGCTAAATTTTGGTTTACAATCTTAAGAATCTTGTTTTTTTTCTTCGTAATAGATTACAATCATGAATGCAGGTCGAAAGAGATTTGGTACAAATGATTTACGTGGAAGAGTATTTCTTTCATCTGGTAAATAACAACGAAAAAATGAATTTATTTCTATTCAATGAAATTTTTAGGTATGGGTGGAATGTCTGGTGCTCAACCAAAAGCATGTCAACTTCTTGGTTGTATTGGTGTTGTTGCAGAAGTAAGTGAAGAAGCTGCAAAAAAACGACATGATCAAGGCTGGTGTCAAGAGTTAATATATGATTTAAGTGAATTGATTGAACGTATTCGAGAATGTCGAACAAAGAAATTGGCAACTTCTATTGGTTATGTTGGAAATGTCGTTGATGTTTGGTTAGAATAGTTGTTTTCTGAATATAAACTTATATATGTTCAAATTGATCTTCTTATAGGGAACGTTTAGCAACTGAAAAAGAAACACTTATAGATCTTGGTTCTGATCAAACATCATGTCATAATCCATATCATGGAGGATATTATCCAGTTCAAGTAAAATCTTTTTTTCTTATATTTCAATATAATGTTTTTTTGATTATATTAGTTGTCATATGATGAATCTCGAAAATGTATGAAGAGTGATCCAGAAAAATTTAAAGAACTTGTACATGAAAGGTTATTCTATATAATTAGCTTATATAATATTTTAATGTTCTATTTTTTTGTTCTTCAGTCTTAAACGACAAGTGGCAGCAATTGATAAATTACATGAACGTGGCATGTATTTTTTTGATTATGGTAATGCATTTTTACTAACAGCAAAACGAGCAGGTAAGAAATAATATGTTCGAATTTTTCTAATGAAAATATTTCTCCTTTTAAGGTGCTCCTGTTGGCGGTACTGATGAGAAACGTTGTATACGTTTTAAATATCCATCATATGTTCAAGATATAATGGGTGATATATTTTCTCTTGGTTTTGGACCATTTAGGTTTGTATGAATTCATTTTTCTTCTTCTTTTGTATATATTTTTTATTTAGATGGGTATGTGCATCTGGTTTAGAAAATGATTTACAACAAACAGATAGAATTGCTCAAGATTGCATTGAAAAACTTATGGCAAAAGAAAATAGTATGTATTGGATAAATGCGTTCTTTTTTTTCTTTGGAAATTTTTGATTTCATAGCTCCAAATAATGTTCTTGAACAATATGACAGTAATTTAAAATGGATACGAGGAGCTGAAGATGCCAAATTAGTTGTTGGTTCACAAGCACGAATTTTGTATTCTGATCAAACCGGTAGAGTTAATATTGGTTTAGCATTTAATGAAGCTGTACGATCAGGTCGATTAAAAGGACCAGTTATTTTATCAAGAGATCATCATGATGTATCAGGAACAGATTCACCTTTTCGTGAAACAGCAAATATTGAAGATGGTTCTGCATTTTGTGCAGGTTAGAGAATAAAAGAAATTATTTTTTTTTACTTCAAATTTTCATAGATATGTCTGTACAAAATGTTATTGGTGATTCTTTTCGTGGTGCAACATGGGTATCATTACATAATGGTGGTGGTGTCGGTTTTGGAGAAGTAATGAATGGTAAGAGAATTTTTATTTTCTCAGACTTCAGTCCATTTTTTTATTAAGGTGGTTTCGGTATGTTTCTTGATGGTAGTGCAAAAGCTGATGAGAACATTCGACAAATGTTATATTGGGATGTAATCAATGGTGTTAGTCGTCGATCATGGTCAGGCAATAAAAATGCACGTCAAACAGTAGAACGAGCAATGGATAAAGAATCGAAACTTAAAGTTACATTACCCAATGAATTAGCTGAGGAATGTATTCAAAAATTATCTGCGTGATAAAAAAAAGAGACAATATCTATTTTGATTACTAACCATTTATTGTTATTACTAACTCCAGTTTTTTTCATAACATAAATATATACTAACTGAATTACTTACAAGTTATTAGGTAGTAAATTTCAGTATTTTCTGATAGCTTACATATGAAGAAAACAGATGATCTCGACTTATTTTTCTGTTGAATCAACAACAAAATATATACACAAGGACACATCTTTGTTTTCGTTAGTCTTTATTTTGACCAGAGTGTAACGATTGATTTCAATAAGAACCATCTTTTTGGTTCGTTAATTATATAAAGCCAAACAGTCAAAATAATAATTGTTTATTTAATCCATCGACTACATAAAAACATCGCAACATCTGGAAATAACTCATGTAGTTAATACTATTTTAGGACATGTGGTTTGATCAACCATTAAATATTATATATATTAAATCTTCTAATATAATCGAACGCTGATAACATTTTCAATCCTACGATGATATTTAATTTGTTTTTCGAATTATAACTGGATGCATAATCAATAAGGTTTCAATATAGAAAAAGAGGAGTGACAATAGACAAAGGTTATAAGTAAAGTTCATCATACTTGAAAAAAACAAGATGATGTATCTGGTATTTATCATAAATATTATTCTATTGAATAAAAATTAATAAAGTCGATTTTCTTTTTGTCATGTATGATAATCGATTCTCATAAAATATGTGATCAATACTTTGAACATACATTGAACAGAAAATGTCCGCCTTAGATCTTTATTTATAATTTATAATTTATTCTCTCTTTTTTTCCAACATATATATGTTATATAGATTGTCTATCATTTGTGAAAATTTTTAAACAGTATTCAGATCGATACTTATCCTTATTTCTTAACACACACACATAAAAAATAATAATTCATAATGTTTCATCTATCATTAATTTTCTTACCATTCCTATTGACAATTATAACAATGACAATGGCTAATCCATGTCCATGTGAACTGATCGTTAATGAATCTTCATCGAATAATCCTTCAAATTCTATAACAGATTCAACAACAAATCAATTCAGTGATGATGAAATTCTTGAAGATTATCTTGATCGTTTATCAGATGCATTTCCATTCGAAACATCATCGGATGTCTCATCATTATATCCAGTACTTCATCAAACAAAAAATTTCGATGCAAATCGTAAACGTTCTAAACGACCAAGTTGGGCAGCTGTTGGAAAACGAGCAACTTCTCTTAACAGTAAACGACCATCATGGGCTCAAGTTGGTTAAACAAAAAACGAAACAAAACAAAAAATGACTAATAAATTGTTCAATATTCTTTTGAAAAAATAAAAAAATAGAAAATATTAAAATGAAATTAATGAAAATTTCAATTCTCTTTTTATTTAGATTTTCTAAAGTATATGATCCAAAAGTAATTTTTTTTCTAAATTTCAAAAAAAAAGAAACGATTTCATTTCGCTTTCAATTTTTTTTTTCAATGAACAATAAGAATAACACTTTATTAGTTATTTCATTTTACTAACGTAAAGTAAATATACTACTCATAGTATGAAAGCATACAAAGTGTGTATTTGCCTTGAATTGATAGTGCTCTTTATTAATAAAGCCCTCAATTTATAATCGAACTTATACATAAATCATTATTTTCTCTTATACAGTCCATTTTTTTGTCCAACATCAATCAGTCAATTTGTCGTTGAGTATATGTGAAAAGGAAAAAAAAGGAGTCATCAATCTGTATATGTTTCTGTGTCAAATAAGCAAAGTAAGATTAACACAAAGAATAGGTGGTAATTTTAGCAAGGACGATCGAATCAATATAAAAAAAAAACTTCCCATAGAAAAGAAAAAAAAGAAAGAAGGACAGCAAATATAGACATACCAAATAACAACAGCAAGTTTCTTTGACATTATTATTTTGATCTTAACATATACATCAAAAAAAAAAGAAAAGAAATCTGATCACTTGTATTTCTCCTCCTACTCATTGATCGACGTCAATGATTGACAAACATGTATCATATCAAGTGATCAAAAGAATCAATTCTGTTTATATCAAACACTAATAGGAGACACAAAAAAAAAAATCTAGTACACAACACACATTTTTTTGACTGTTCATATATATAGATATTTTATTGTCGTCTATTTTTCTTCTTAAGTACATCAGTTGATTTACCATAAGTTGCAATAACTGTATCTTGAACTTCACATTCACCAAAAAGTATATGAAAATATCCGTTCTCACCCCAGCCAGTACCCCATGAATTAGCTGCAATCCAATAACTTTCTTCTTTGTGTGTATTTCGATTAACCTGTGTACCCCAACCAAGTAAACGAATTGAATGATAACCGAACAAATTAGCATAACGAGGATTTTGATTTGCATAACTTGCACCACCACAACGATAAACACCTGAGCTATATAAGAAAAAGTCTGGTGTAACACGCATTGTTGCTTGTACAGGACCACGAAAATGTATTTCATATTTAACTGAGCTTGCGTCTTTACGAATACGATAAGCAGGGCCAAAATTAAAATGCTCACCTCGAGCACGTGATGGACAATTCAAATTTGTTATCTTACGATGTTGGGCAATATTTTGTAAATCTTCATTAGATAAACGGAGTTTACATTCAGTTATATTACCTGTTGTACCACTTTCATATGGATAGCAATTTTCTGTAACAACACCACGATCTTTTATAAAACCCCATGCATAAGTGACACGACCACCTTCACAACCATCTTTAGCTTCTGGATCTGTACATGAAAGAATATTCTGTACACTTAAAGGTTCATTTGGTAGTTTTATATTTTGCACAAGTGATAAACGATCAGCAGCAACATCAACAGTTGATAATGCCCATGATATACCACATTTACCTTGATCGCGAATACCACGTATTTTACCAGCATATGATGGATTTGTACGAACGTCATATGCATTAACTTCCTCCATACGATGATATTCATTTGGATCATCAGGTGCATTATCAACCATATGACGTAAACTTGGATCTGGTAATGTACCAAGATAAATTTTTAATGCATCTTTTACTTTAACACCATTAAATTTAGGATATTGTTTAACCTCAAAACCGAGATATGGTTGTTGTGTTTTATAATCTGATATAAGTACATCACTATTTATACATAAATCTTCGTCACATGATAATTTTGTTTCAAAACCAAGTGTTTGACAACGACATAAATTACAATCACGTAAAAATGAATCACCTAATGCATATTGTCTATTTGTAAATGAATCATAACATGTACCACTTGGTTTAGGTGCTAATGTTGTTGCTGTTATATTAATTCCTTGACATACTTGATCATGATCAGGACAACAATCATGATTATCAATACCACGAAAACAAAAATTATCGCAATAACACCGAGAATCATAATAAGGCATAAAACAATCATCATCTCGACTAGCACAACATTGAGGATTTGGACGAATTTTACAATATGGTTTGACTTCTTCCCAATCAGCATAACGACAATCAATTTGACTTAATAATAAGATAAAAATATTTATCAATAAAAATAACCTTGCCATCATTGAACTAGAAATGAAAGATGTTGTTGTTTAATACGATTGAAGAATACTCTGTAAGTCACCGTTACCAACACTGTAATGAGAAAAAGAAAACAACAATGACAATTTGTATGAGAACGAGAGACTGGGAGAGAAAACTAGAAAAATAAAAAAAAAAGAAGAAATACCTACGAAGATAGAGGGAAAGAAGAGAGAGAGAGGGAGAGAGAGAGAATATACAAAAAAAAACTGCTATCGCTAGTGATCGTTTTTTTGCGTGTGTCTGTATGTACTTCCGACAAAGCAATGTATATATGTGTTTCAATACCGACTCTAAAATTAATCTCCTTTTAAAAAAAAAGAAAAACATATCAAATAGAAGGACGATATTTTGATTGTGTGAAATGTAAATGAAAATACATCTGTCAAAAAAGTTTTATAATTATATAGAAAATCTTTTAAATATATTTTTAGACTATCTTATTTCACTTTTGATTAACATAAGAACAGATTATGACAACTATACTTTTAAATGTATATTAAGCAGCGTACAAAATTCGATTAACCGCAAGCAAGCACAAAAATCTTTATGTATATATAATATATATATATATATGCAGGTGTTTCATTCTTTTTCTTCCTTCTTAAGCATCGATTAATTATCAACAACAACCATCGACATTTCTTTTACTTCACTGTTTTCTCACATATCAACACATGAAAAAAAACACATCGTTTTCTTTTTTTATATATGAAAATAATATGTTGACGTTTATTTCAATTAATATACTCCTATATACACAGGATACATTACAAAATGACGACAAAATAAAAGATCGTCAGGATATGATTTACATCTTGTTGTGCTTGTACGCGCGTTGTTATTATGATGATTATATGCAATTCTAGAAGATGCATGAAGGAGAAAAGATTCAAGCAAAATGCATATATATATATTGTTGTATTGCAATAAACATACGTATTTGTTATTAATATGTAACAAGTTCTTTCAATCGAAATGTCATTAACTAATAAATAAAAAACAATAATATATTTCTTTTTTTTTTGTTACAATGTATATGTTAACAAGAAGATAAGTATCTTTGAAATGCATTCTTTCATTTTCATATATAAGAAAGATATTTTTCTGCTATGATTAATCACATGAAAGACAAGGTTAAGTTTGTCATTTATCAATAAGCTTAGATTTTAATCGACATATGTGTTACCTTGGTAAGGTGAAAAATTTTGTTCGATGGAATCGATAAATATTGATAGATTGTCTATTTCTTCCAGTCGAGAATATATTCTATTGTTTATGTAATAATTCACTGATGATACATAATAAACGTCTCATGATTAAATCGATACTCTCGATGCAAATGAAGATCAGATGGGTTTTTTTCTGTCTAGCGATAAAATGTTGACGAAAGCTTTAAGGGGAGAAGACCTTAACAATATCGATAATCTCAGTGATACATACAAAACATATGGAGAATAGACAGATGATTTTTTTTGCTCACAAAAAGATTAAGCATTAATTAATAAAATATTACCCCCGTCAGAATTTCAACACTTCACCAGCCATAATATTTGTCAATTAATAATAAAGATATCAATATAATCTAAGCATATTCTCATTTTCTCAGTGGTGATATCAAGGTTAACAATGTGATAAAATGATTGAATGACAATCTTCAGAGAAAATACTTATAACAGCTGTTAAATACAAGGTGACAAGAAAAAAGAAAAGATCAATGTCTATCATTCATTTATTTTTCAATAAGTTCAATTTTTTGTTCAATTAAATTTTTTTAAATCATTTTTATTATCAACAATACTATAAGTACCAATTATAGATTAATAACATATGAGTGTACATCTTAAAAATCTTCAAATTTAATTAATTCTTTTTTTTGAATCGATATGATGTCATTTATTTAATACGTTCAAAATCGATATCAATGATGCATGTTTACGGAATTAAGCAGTTTTGTTAACAGTAACGCATAGCAATGCATGACTAAAACTATTAAGATAATAATCTTGAGGTATATTAAATTTAATTATGCGGTTATGAAATAAATTCACGTGAGTTTTCTAAGAAAATAAGAGTCAAGTCGTTCTATGCTACGGAGTCATATTTACTTGTTGATCGCTACGTTCATAGTAGAAATGTTTTGGTGTAATACGGAAGTGGTTTTTACCATTTATTTTTAGAAAGTTTTTTTTCTTTGTCTAAGTGAAGCCCTCGAGCTAACGTAAACGACATACACTTTATTTTATCGGCTGTTTTTCTCAATCATTGTCGATTGATTTCATATTTTTTTTTATTTTACTTAATGTATTCCGAACGTTTTAGCCCTAAAGAATGAATGTTCGAAGGAAATAACACAAATACATCTCATATCGCCGTAAAAAATAGTTTTCTTGTTTATATAAAATTTTGTTTTCAATAACAATAATTTGTTTTCAATGAAATCGTTTCGATAAATTCCTATTGTTTTCCGTTTAAATAAATATAAATCAATTTTTAATAGTATGAACATAACAATAAAAATCTAATGTGACTGTTAAAAATTCTAATTACGCTACTAAAACTATATTAATACAAGTTTAATATATCAGAAAGGAACGACAATACACTTTATAAATAGAAAATCCTTGAACTCAGTCCTTTTTTTTTCTTACACACATTCACAAAAGCCAGTAGGTTATTTATTAAGTGATACTTATATAAACCAATATAGTTTGTTTAAACATTCATTTTTTATTCTTAAAATATGCTTAAAGAACAAATCCCAAGAACCCATGTTTATATATAAATATATTCGGTGGTTTTTTTAAAAGAAAAGAAAAAAAAACAATGTTCATTACGATTCATGCGCATCATTTGCAAGTGCTGTCAATGACATATTTTCTTTTGCATTTAAACCTAATTTTTTGATAAATTCAATTTTTTCATTTGATAATTGTGTTGATGATGTTCCTGTTGTTGATTGTTGAATAACATATTCTAAATAGAATTTAATTTTGTTTTTAAAATAAGATTTTCTTTTTTAATGAAAATTAACTAACCTTGCATTTCTTGTAATCGTTGATTGATGTTATTTGGAAGGCTTTTTGATAGATATTTAATTAATGATGGTACAGCTTTACCTGGTGCATGAACAAATCGACCAGCATGAATACCGTAAAATAGAAGAGTTATTGCTAAATGAAGAATCATTGCAGGATCTTGTTCATCAGTTAATTTAGCTTTAAGTTTTTCTCGAATATCTAATGTTAAATCTCTGAAACGGAAGGAAAAATATTTCATTTGAAATAGAAAATTAAATACATACTTTTCATTTTTTTTCGTTGGACGTTTTAATGATAATTGAAGTAATTCATTTGCAGCATCTTCAAGTCGACTTAATGTAGTTTCAACATTCTTTTATAATTACAATGAATATAGATAATTAAAGAAAAAATAGTTTTTACTTTGCCATTTAATGATTCGTTAACTTTTGATAGATGACTTCGATTTGGTTCGGACATTTTTTGAATAATTTTATTTCGCTCCTATAAATAAAACCATTATTCTCTCGTAAAGTATAAAGAGTATCGAATTTTTTTTTATAGATCATGGAAGAATTTTCAGAGGAATGTCACAGATCAGAATCATCACCTTGTCAATATATTAGTTATATTCTCTTTCTCGTAGAGAAGAGTCCAGTAAACATAAATTGTCTGATTGCTTGCTTGTATGTCCGCAGGGTCAAAAAAACATCGAAAATCAATTTTCTGGAAAAGACATTTCTAGAGGTATTTCGATGCGAGGAGTTCGAATATGAGGTCTGTTGGGTGATCATGATGAAGGGGGAGGGAGTAAAGAGGGTGCCTAGGTCAAAAAAACACCGAAAACCTATTTCCCACGGTTTTCAATTGTTTTTCCACTAAATGTGCAGAGGATGCATTACCATGAGAAAGAGCTAAGCGAGTCTTCGGACGAGCGCTACTTGTTACTTTAAACGTTCTATGTTAAACACGAAAAAAGAAAATAGTGAGAGAAATTTCTATCAATCTTAAATAGAGAAAATATCTCACTTATTCATTTATATGACACTATAATAATGGTAGTATGTTTTTTATATTCATATTAATTATTCTTACCTCAATACTTAATTGTCCTGTTTTTGAACTTGCTGATGTATCAAGTTCTCTTATGATATTATCGCACATATCAGCACAAAGTGAACGAATTAAATGTCGTTGTAATGTTTCAGCTGAATTAAATATTCCAAAAAAATTAATAAGAAAATTAAAAAAAACTTACCAAGAGCTGTTTCATTTTCTGTAGTTAAGTGTTCAATTGCACGTGAAAATATACAAATATTTCCATGTAATTGTTTGATAGATTCTTGTACATTTTTTATTTCACTCTTACGTGTTGTATCATTACTTGTTTCATTATCTTTTAATACAAAACTTTCTTTTACACGTTGAACAAATAAATCAAGATATTGTCGACTTTTTATACTAGATTAGAAAGAGATGAATAATATTTCGAATTTAATTGAATAATTACTTATAAAGATTATCAGTTAATAAATCAATTATTTCATCAGGTACTTCTTCATTAATCGATCGAATTTGAGATTTAATTTCATCTTTACTTACAAATGGAATTGTTTCTTGATTAGAATTACTTTCTTCAACAACTTTCGATGCACCTTTTCGTTTACCAGCTGCAGCAGCAGGTTTTTTCGCAGTCGCACCTTTTGATGATGCACTAGCTAATGCAATATTACCTTGAAGAACAGCTGCATACATCTGTGGAGTACATTGCGCTGATTCCTAGAAAAAACAATCCATCATTATTATCTAGATGATTGACAAATTAATATTTATTCTTACTTTTTCTGCATATTCTTGACAAATATCATTTAATTTCTTATCAATTTTATCTTGTAATTCTTTTGCAAGAATAAATGTATTTGAAATAAGTTCACCACCTGATGATTTAATTAATTCTTTGAGAGATAATTCTGTTTTAAATAATTTTTCAATATCATTTTCATTAAAACTATTTGGCATTAATGTTGTTATATCAACATATTCATTTGTAACTAAACCTTGTTCAATATTCATTTCTAATTGTGGTAAAAATTTTAATAAATCAATACAACCAGATATTAAAAAAAGTATTTGTTTTCGATCTTTTAATACTAATTTTGTTTGTCCTTCAGGATCATTGACACCAAGATTTCGTACAAGTGAATATTCAATATAACCATTTTGAGTAAAAAATGATTCAATATATTTTGCTTGAGCATCTGTATATACTTTTGGATAAAAAATAGAATTTTCTTTTGTCGTTCCGAGAAGATTTCCATTAATTCGATTATCACGAATTAAATTAACAATAAGACCTATGAACAAAAAAAATAAAACTTAATATATAAGCAAGTAACGCTCGTCCGAGGACTCGCTAGCTCTTTCTCGTGAAAATGCATCGTCTTCACATCTACTGGAAAAATAATTGAAAATCGTGAAAAATCCGTTTTTGATGTTTTTTTGACCTCAAATTCGAAGTCCCCGCATCTAAATACTTCTAGAAATGTCTTTTCCGGAAAATTGGTCTTCGATGTTTTTTTGACCCTGCGGACACACAAGCAAACAAGTTATGTTTACTGGACTCTTCTCTACGGGAAAGAGAATATTTAGTCTATATTACTTTGAATAAGATTTTCATTGACACGTGTTGTTTTAATTATTTCATTAACACGTACAGGTAAAAATGCTGCTTGAAGACAGCCAATAAGAATATTTTGTTGTAAACGTACATAATTTTCTGTATATAAAGTGCCCGATTCAAATTTAATACCATTTGATGTTGAACCAATAATACGATTTGTAACTATTGAATTTAAATATTCTGTTGGTAAATCAAATTGACGAATTAATTCACTAAATGGTATAAGTCCACGTTCAACTAACATATCATTTATTTCTTCAACTAAACGATTCGTATAATCACTTGAATAAAAATAGAAAAAATTACATATTTAGTTTTCGTTATATAACTTACGCAGATATAAATTGTCCCAAAGTAAATTGTAATGTTGGATCTTCTTTACAAACATCACCAATTTTACCTTCGATATAAGTTAAATCAATTCGAAGATGTTGAGCCAAATCAACAATATTAATACGACCTGAACAGAAAATAAATAGATAAATATCGTCTTTTTTAATCTGATAGAAATTTAGAATCTATTTATTCAAAACTAAATCATGTTATTTTACATCTGTCAAGTGTAGAAATATTTGTTGTTTTTATAAAGTATAACTATAAGGCATATGTTAAAGTGACTCACCTCCATTTGCGTAAATTTCATCGAGAATTTCTCGAATTAATCGCTGTTCAGTAATAATATCTTTTCCATCGGTTGTATAGATTACATTTAATAAACCTTCTTTAACTAAAAGGCCAATTAATTCAACACAATTTCGTTCAGATAATCTAAATAAATCAGTAAATATAATTAAGTAATTGTATACGTTTACACATACTTATTAGCTGTTTCTGTTAATTGTAAATTAAGAAAATCAGCACGTAAATTACGAATTTCATCCCATGTGACATCAGCCATTGTTGATTATTTATATGTTAAAAAATAGTAATACTAATAATAGTTATGCGTAAGATCAACACTATCACATAGCCATCTTTTAACTAACCAATCATCTGTTTTTATCGAAGAAAATAAAAGACAGAGAGCGCTCTAGTTTTTCAACACGTCATCTATTTAGTTTTCTTTATATTTTACATAGTCATTTATTAGCATTTAATAATATTTGTTTTATTTTAATCTATCAGGGAAACCATTAAATGAGAAAACTAATTCGCATTAAAATTTTTAGATAAGAAATAAAATCAAAATTTCGATATCAATATTTTTTGTAATGAAACTTATTTTTCGTTCAAATAAAACTGTAAGACTAAAGATAATTATGTTTATAAAATATATAGGCTTGATATTCTCACTGATGATTTGATTGTTAGTCATAATCGATTCAGGTTAAATAGATTAGATAAATAATTCGTTAGAAATATATTTTGGTAGTCACTATACAAGTGAATCTATGAACAGAGTCAAGTTTATTTTTTGTTGGTATGGTTCTTTGCATGTATCCTATCCAGTAATTATCAATACATGAATCGGATTCATGTTATAAATAATCACCTTTTGACGTTATTGAACAAGGCAGATATGTTAGAAAATATATTAGAAGTTTAAACGATGTGTGATATCAATTATAACAGACTATGGATGTTGACATAATTATCTTCTTTTTGAAGGTTGTTCTGGGAGATGTGAATCTGGATGATAATGATCAGAAATATACTTCGAAATTGTTTTGTTTCATATTTTGAGATGCTGAATAAAAGATGATTACTCATAGCTTAAACATATTTATACTCACATTCACATCTCTTTACAAATTCATTAGAAATTTTTTTTCTCCTAGTCTATTTTACTTTTATATGTATTTCTTACGCATAAACTGATTGTAGGAAGAAGAAAAAGAAACACATATTTTACAAAAGGAAAAATTGAAAATATACAATTCTGAGATAATAAGATTGACTAATATTAGTTTAGAAAATGATATTCCATACACACGCACACACACAACTTTTATATAAAAAAAGAAAATTTTGGATCAATCACACAATAGTTGATCACGATAAAAACAAATTTAAAAAACAAAAGAAGAAACATATATCTATTATATATGATCAAATTCTGGTAAATAACTTGATGGTCGTTGTAAAGAAGATGAACGTATAGGACGTTCAGATTTTGTTTCTACACGATCATCTCGTTCGATTGATGGTGGTCGATACCATTTATTAGATGATGATGATGGCGGTCGCGAATAATGTTTACTACTTGTAACAGTACGATTATCAACAATATTATATTTCGTTTGACAAACAAATACATTTGTACATAAACGTGTTACTGCATTCATTAGATCTCGTGCTTCACATATAACAGTATCAACCTAATAAATAAAAAATATATATGATATTCAAGGAAAATAATTTCTATACTTTTGCAAATGTTGAATTTTTTCCTGATACAGAAGCTTTTAATTTTAATTTTAATTGATGACACATTAATGGAACTTTTTCTAATTGTATTAACATATCTTGTCTTACATTTTTATTTGGTATCTGAAATAAAACATTTTTATATAACTTTTAAATATAGATATGAAATTTACTTGATGAATAAATTCATGAATAATAGCTGATAAACGAGTGCCTTCTTCTACAAAATAATAAGCTTGTGTAAATAAATCTTGTGTTGTACGTAAAGTTCCTTCGCCTCGAGTAAATAAATACATTGAATATGCCATTGATGACATATTTTTTGCACGCTAGATAAATAAAATTCTATTTAAAAAAAGAAAAATAGAATAACAAACTTTAGCAACTTCATTAGGTGCTTCATCCCATTTTTCTGCTTCAGCATCCATTTCCGATGTAACTAATTTCATTTCAAGTCCAACTTTAGCAATTTTAGCTTGTTCATCAGAATCAAGTTTGGTTGGTTTAAAACCGACTAAACAGAAATGTTAGGAATAAGATAGAGTTTAATCTAATGAATAAGGTTACCTTTCGATGTTGTTCCATGTTTACCGGGTCTTGGTAATGATAAATAAGCGGTTTTTTCACCACGACCTTCAATAAATTCTTGTATCTCTTTAACAAGAATTGAAAAATCATTAACTTCTTGTTCCCAAAACCGACAGAGTACATCGAGATTTTCTTTCGATACTCGATTCGTTGGATGTGCAGCAACTGCTTGTGATGATGCAATGATCTAAAAACAAGAATTACTTCTTTGTTTCGATTCACTTCGTTCAATATCAAAAAATATTTCCAACTAATGTCGTAGAAAAAAACCGACTGAAACTGAAAAACATTGATATCTGTCAACACATTGAACTTAAATTCAGTCGAACCGAGTTACGAATCGGAACTTTTAAATCTACAGTCTTTGATTAGTAGTATTTGAAAACTATCTTCAGTGAGGGTGTGGCTATTACGATTGTCTCGCACCCACTCATACCCTTCAATAAAACTAAATATTTACCATATTTGATAGATTTTGAAATAACATATCATGATATTCACTTGAAACTTGTAGTGGATCACATGAACTAATATGTTTTAAAAGTTTACTTAACTAAAAATATAGAGAAAGATTATTTTTTTTGAATTTTTATTTAATTATTTAATATCAAACTTCAATTGCAATTTCTGCTTGTTCACGAAAACGATCAATAGCTTCTTGTAATAAATCGAATCGACTAGTTAATGAATATGTTTTTAATTCATTTAATAAAACACTTTCATCATGTGTTCGAAAAAATTCCGATGCACGAAACATTGCCATTTGTTCCAGCTAAGACAGAAAAAAAATAGTTTAGTTTAAAAGAAGAATTTTAATAAATATAAAATAAAGTAAATTACTTGTTTACGAAAATCATATCCTATTTGTTGAATTGTTTGAATTGATAATGGAAGTACTTCACTTTTTAATGAAAAACCCATTTCATTATCATTTGTAATCATCGTTATTATTTCTCCAAGTTGTTCTTGTAATTTACTATGATATTCAAGTACTTTTTCTCTTTGTTCAATACTTATATAAACTGAATCAGTAAAATCTTGACTATTATCAATAGTTTTATTACATAAATCTTCAAGTTGTTCTTTAGTTGATGATGTTATGGAAACATTTAACATTTCAACAGCATACTAATAAAAAACATTAAAAAAACATGAATATTTTTAAATTTTGTTTTTCTTTACTTCAAATTGTCTTAATGATTTAACAAAATTAATTTCATCTTTCGTAAGTAGAAGTGTAATTGTAGGATTCGTTGTTGTTGATGTTGAACCAGAATCATAAACAATTGAACCTGCTAGATCAAGTGCACGACGTACTTGATCATAAACAAGATCACGACATTGACGAGAATGGACACATTCAATATGACGAAGATATGCCTATATTAAAAAAACGTGAGTTTAAATATTTTCTAACATGCTAGAAAAATAGAAGTAGACACGAGAGATTGAGAAATAGATATATTTTATAATTTATTAATTATCATCATGATTTGCTTTCTCTTTTTAGTTCAAATTGATATAATTATTCATACTTTTGATGAAGTTAATATGAGCATTGTAGATTTTTCTAGAATTGTTCGAGAAGCGGAAAGTTGAGATCGACGACGTTCATCTTTTAGATCCTAAATAAAAAGTTCTTTTTCATTTAAAATATATTTATTATATACTTACATTTTGTCGATCACCTGTTAGATGTGCTAATTCAACCATTTGACCTCCATAAATACCAAATAATTTGACAAATTCAGAAAAAGATGTTACTGTTTCAAGCCGATTTAATGTTGATATTACCTATAATAGAAAATAATCATATATATATATCCTTTCAAATGAAACAAACCATTACCTTTTTCTTAATAGAAATTATTTGTTTTACAACAATCATATCAGCAAGTAATAAGACACGTGTCACTGCACTTAATAAACCACGAGCAGCTTGTACCATACTCTGTCTATCAGTGACACAAACGGGTTTACCAAATGAATCATATTCTACACAAGTTATCCGTTTTATCGATTCACCTATATCAATAAAAAAAACAAACAACAACTTATAAATCAATTTTAAATTTATTGATTATGCATACCAGCTGATCGAGCTTCACGACATGCATCAGTTAAATCTGATTTTATTTCTGAATTTTCATTAGCTATTGATTCACCTAGAAAATAAAGATACATTATTAATTATATATTTTAAGTGAGGGTATCATTATCAAAATATTTATGTTTGTGTCCGAAAGTATCTTATCTCGTTAATTATACTGACAACCTACCGACAGAAACAAAACGTTCGACAGCCATGTGTACAGCATCGCCCACTCTACTAATAGCCTGAAGTGTTTTTTCATTAATTGCCGATGATGATGATGATCGAGGTTTTTCTTTAAAATTAACTAATGTTGATATTTGTGTAACAAGTGGTATAAGAGTTGTTTCAATTGATTTTGTTTTTATTTCAAGCGATTTCTGTGAAAAAGCTGGATTAGCTATTGCCATTGTCTCTTTTCTCTCTCTCTCTCTCTCTTATTTTACATTATCTAGAATAAAGAAAACACTGATGTTTATTTCATATAATCACTCTCAACAATCGTGACGAAAAAAAGAAAAACCGGTATTAAAATATAAAATAAAATTTTATCTTGAAGATTTTTTTTGTGAACGTTCAAGATCATTATCTTCTGCACTATATAATTCACTAACAATTCGATAAACATATGAAGGTGCATTTCCCATTCCACTACCAATAATTAATGTAACTAATTCAGGTGGGACATAATCATGCATTGGTACAACAATATCTAATGATGATTGAAATAAAGATTCATATGATAAAATATTTTCTGGTGATGGAAAACTATTACACATAACTGGATCAAATGATGGAAGATATGTTGGAGAAAATTTATATGTTGGTGCACAAACAAGTAATGGTACATTATAATTTTTTGCAGCTAATGCTAAATTATATGTACCAGATTTAGCTGTTAAACCTCCATTTGCTAGAAGACTACGTGTACCAATAAGTATTTTATTAACACGTGCCATTATAGCAAATACAGCTGAATCAGTAACAACTGTAACTGGAATGTTTGCTTGAGATAAATTGATTGCCATTTTATGTCCAGTAAAAAAAGGTGCATGTTCAAGAATAAATACATGAAATTGCCGTTTTTTAGCGGCTGCATATTTAAAAAATCGCTCAACAGTATATGAATAACCTAATGTTAATATAATTTCATTGGCATGAATATGTGCTAAGGCTTGTTGTGCAAGATTTTGTACACTTAATTCAACATCAGTTGCATACCAATTTAGATCATCCATTAATTCAGGTTTAAGTATGTGCATTGGTACTTCACTTTCGATACTATTTATTGGCATTGATTCAGTTAAATCAGCTTGAACTTGTTGTTTCTTTTTTAATTGAAGATTATCATCTGGATTTTCGTATTCATCATCATTCATAGTTAACATTGTTGCACGATCATTAAGAACGGCTTGAAGTGTTAAAGATATATCACTACCTTCATTTTTACCATGAATTATTCGTACAGATACTTCACGAATTATCTTTAGTATACGTCTAAATCAGAAAATAAATATTTATTTTCTCAAGAAATTCTTTCTTCTATCACAAAAAAAACAAGAAATCTGCTATTGTCTGTTAAAAGAGAAAGAATTAATTCTGTTACTACAAATTCTTTGTTCTCTATTCATGTTTTATAATAATGGAATAGATTAGTCTAAGCAATTTAACTGTCAAACATGATCGAGAAAAAAAGAAATAACTAATGAAGGAAGTCTCCAGCTGATCAATTACCTTTCAAGTCAGAACAATATGTATCATGAAGTATACTTCGATCCTTAACGTATTGTTATCGATATAATTTGTTTCAATACAATGTGAAGATATGCTTTTATCATAAGTATATTTTACAATATTCATTAGATTCTATGTAATGAATATAGTTTTAATTTCGGAATAATCAATCAGTTAGAAAATTGTCAAAAGAAGTATTTAATAGAGAAAAATAAAATTTGTTTGACATGCAAATGTCATCTAAATCTTTAAAATAAGATTAACCTTTTGTTTAATTTAAATACCATACCTTGTAATATTAAATGTAATACTATCCACCGGTTGTCCTTCATTAAGACGATGAGCTTGAGAACGTATCATAGTAATAAGTTCACTTGCATTTGACCATTTTGATTCTCCAATAAGTTTTTTTAAAATTAATATAGTAGCTAATGCTAAATCAACTGAACGTGTATATGTTGATTGTTTAACATTATTACAAAATCGATCGATTTCGATTTCAACATCGACGGGAATACGAGCCATTTGTATTTTTTTCTTTTGAAATTATCTATATTAAGAATAAAACATGCTTATATACTTCTTATTAAATCTGATGCAATATTGAATCATAATCGAAAATTTCTCGTTAATAGAATTCATACTAAATGAATGAATCCGATCAATTATTTGCTAAGAAATAAAAAGGTCATGAACAATCTCCTACAGAATTACTACGAAGACAAATGTCAGCATTGGTATTATCTCTACGAATGTTTACTGATTTATTGATTACATTTCTAATTGGATAATTTTATTTAACCAATCAAATTCTTTTATATATCCTCTACATGAAATTGACATAAAACAATAGAATCAATGAAAATTTAACATTGATTGTAGCGTATTCGATACTGATTTAATCTTTACACTTGTCATAACCTGACTCTTGTCTATTAAAAAATAATTAAAAAGAAATGGCTCATAACATTTATACTATTGGACATTCATCTCATGATTTAATAACATTTTTTTCAATTTTAAAACGTTATAATATCGAAGAAATTATTGATATTCGTCGTTCACCTCGATCAAATCATAATCCAAATTTTAATATTGATCAATTAAAAGAAAAATGTTTATTAAAATATTCATTTCAAGGTGATATTTTAGGTGGTCGTCGTCGACGACGTAAATCTCTTGATAATCTTAATAATGGTTTAATTGATTCCGATTCACATGCATATGCTGATCATATGCAAAGAAATGAATTTAAAAAATGTGTGAATGATTTAGTTTTATCTTCTCAATCATCATCATCGGTCGTTTTAATGTGTTCAGAAAATAATCCTGAACAATGTCATCGTCTATTACTTGCTGATTATTTATGTCATGTTCATCATATTCATGTTATTCACATACTTTTCAATGGTGAAACATGCGAACATCAACTAAATCCACTAGCGAGATTAGATGAAAAGAATAACACATGTATTTATCCAAGCATTTCGTTAATATGATTATTAATATTATTCATATTCATAGATAAACATGTCTAGAAAATGTAATCTAAGTATAGCTATTGTGAGGAGAAATGAGAAAGCAACGGAAGCAAACAGTCACAATTAATCTGTGTAACAAGTCATCTATGTATACAATCATACCCATATTGTGACAGTTTTTTTTCTCTCTCATCCTTCTTTTTCTAATAATAAAGAAAAGAACAGAAGAAAAAAAACTAACATGAAGTACCATCTAGTTCTTTTCATATATTAGGAAAAAAAAAACGGAAAAAATTGCGATCTTTTTTAGTTCTTTAATTATCGGCCTATTTTTAACACTTCGTTTATCTATCTATATATATATGTGTTTTTTGTATTTTACATTTAGATTATTATCAAAAACTGAATTTTTTCTTCTTCGACTGCTAGATGTAAAAGTAAAAATAGGCAACACAAAAAAATGTCGTCAAGTATTGATAACGAAGAACATGATCCTGTAGCTAATTTAACAATGTTACCAGTTCGAAGTATTCTTAAACCAACGAAAAGTATTGATGAAAGTCAATTAGAAAATAAACAAGATACGACTTTATATTCAACAACTGGTATGAAACGATCAGAAAGTAAAAGGTAAATATATAATATTTTTTTTTGTGCATATATGAATTATTTGTTTATCTAGTCATAAGATTCCACATTTTGATGAGATGAATATTATTGCAACATATCATCCAATTGATAAAGATTATGGTCATATGAAAATTGAAGAACCTAAAACACCTTATGCTCCGTGTAGTAATTTAGATGAAAAGATGGAAACTGATTTTGATAATGATGAAACAATATCTTCGGGTGTTGATCCTGATGCGTTAGCTCAAAGGTTTGTTTGCTTTTTCGTTTTAAATTTCTATTTATTTTGATATTTATCTATAGACTTCATGAATCATCAATACCATCATGTGCTGATTCATCTCGATCATATATTGATCATTCACCAGGAAAATCTTCCAATGAAATTTCTACAGATATAGGTATTTGATTTCTTTTGTGTTTCGAAATTAAATTTAATTCTTGTTAGAACATCGTAAACAATTTGAAAATCATCGAAAACAACATTATAATGAATTTGAAGTTGTTCGATTACGTAAAAAAGAAATCGAAGAAGAATTACGTGCTCTTGAACAAGATGAAGATGAAACGTAAAATTAAAAAGAATATTATTTTGAAATATGAATAAAAACGTACGCTTTTTTACTAGTCATCATGTATCTCATACAACTGATTCAATCAAACCAATTTTAGTTCATTCGTCATCACCGTCTCATCATCCTCATCATCATCATGTTCATGTTGATGAGGACTATGATTATGAAATCGATGAACAAACATTAACACCCGAAGAACGAGGTAAAATTTAATTCATAACAAAATTTTCTTTTTTTGTATGTATATTTTTAGAACGTAGAAAACAATTTCAATTAAAACGAAAGCAACATTATAATGAATTTATTGTTGTACATTCTGCGAACAAAGACGATGAAAAATAATTTTCTTTTTTTTTTCAAATTTTATGTATATACATCTTGTCGTCAAATATTTCTATATGCAACAATTTTAGAAGTCACAATTACTTTCTTTAAGATAAAGATCTCGATGTAGTTTTTTTTTAAATAGGTGATTTATTCCGAATATATTGTTTAACTAAATATATAAAAAATAATTCATTTCGATTTTATCGAATGTAAACTCAGACTTGACTTAACGTTTTTTTAAAACTTGCATGCCGGATATTAATATTTCTTTTTTCATATGTTATTGTTGTTTTAATACGGATGTAAAATAAGTCGGATGGAAATTTATATAATTCTTTTAAACATAGAAATCTTTATTAAATCTAATGATTTCCTTGTCAATGTCATATATAAACTAATAAATATTTTTTTTCCAGGTAAAAAAGTACTGATAATATGTCGAGGTATAATTGTGAAATCGAGTTATATAGAGGAAACTGGAGGTTTATTTACTCTTCGAATTTTTTCCAGAGTTAATAGTACATTTAGCGGTCAAGTCAACCAGTAAATTTTGTTAATAAAGAGTCATATGATAGTTATCCGTAATCTAATAATGAAAATATTGAATGATAAAATTTAACTTGATCGAAACGTTGATTTATGTCAAGCATAAAAATACTTCCTTACTTCGAATGCAAATTAATACAGAACGGATATTTTTTTTCTCTTATCTCGACGAAGAATGTAGCTGGGAGACTAAAAATAAACTCTCTTCTACTTAATGAACATGTTTCATCTAAACAAAATTATAGTGATATAAAATTTGCATAGACATCTATTGACACATATATTATATAGAAATGAAAGGCGTAGTTAAATTTATCAGATAGAAAATATATTGACAATTATATTAGAAATTACAAGAGATAATTAAAAATAATATTAGTATTAATTATTAATTTTGTTAATGTTAAAGTTTTCGTTTACTTGTATTTTTGGTTGAAAATCTTCATATTGATATAAAAATCAGCTTAACCTTTTTACAACCGATTTATTTTTAGCAAGAATCATTTATATTGTCATAACGCTCCGTGTTTTTTCTTGCTTGAGTGTATGACTGCAGGGGAAACAGTGTTTCTCGATATTATTTCCTGGGATAACATGGCGAGTAGTCTTATATAGCCGATTTGATTCGTATTCTTTAACGCTTTGAGTCTCGACTTTTTCTATCGAATCAAATTTGATGAAACTTGTTATGAACTAACTAGGTGACACGATGAAGTATGTGCTCACAGAAAGAGTAAAACATTTTTGTTTGTGTCGTGTTTTAATAAAAAACGCTGTTATAATTGTTTATACTCATACTTTTTATGATATAATGAAAAATAGTTTTTACACAAAAGGCTAAACAAGAGTTACACCTTATAGTCGTCTTTTCTTCTCTTTCTTATTCGCTACAGTAAATGCATCGACGGCAAGCTGGAACGACTTTTGATATATGAGTCAAATTTGTGATTTTTCAAAATTTTCTGTGTTAGTAATGCTCTTTCAGTGCGGGTACCAAATCGTTCAAATCAGTAATTTCAAGATGAACAACCTATGCTGAACTGATAAAAAAATTTCAAAATTCAATTTTTATGCTCAAAATCGTTCTGAACGAAGAAAACTGGTACTACTGCGCTTGAGCCACACTCTCATCCTGATCCTTATACTGATTGCTATATTGAATGTACTAATCAGTGCAACAGTGTGCCTAAAATGCAGAAGGACAATTAATATAGCAGAATTCTTTTAGTATTGAAACAAGATAATTAGGTTCGAATTATATTAACTTCTTTTCTGAATTAGAAGATGAAATTGTTTATTTTAACAACATATGAATAAGGAATACATAAATCAGTCTAACATTGATTGATCACTATACACAAATCCTCATCATGCAGCATCAGGATTTCTAGTTGAGCCAAAAGCATTGATATTCTTTTCGTTAAATTGGCATAGAGCTATCTAAAGAATTCTACCTTTAGAAGACTAACATCACAAATTCCAAGTAAATGTATATTCTCCAATTGTAAACGATATTGGTCAGGAACATCTTCCAGTGTAAAATAGATCATTGTCATTTTATGTTTGTCTTTTTTTGCACCTATTGGATTGGTTAAACCTATATCGTCGATGTATAGTTGTAAAAACAGACTATCATCATCGATCCTTGATACATAATCTCCATCACGAAATGAAAACATTAAATCATCATCATTATAAGTTGTTTGACGTTGTTGTTTCATATTATCAAGAATTTTCGTAATGTCCGATCAATCGGTGTAAAATATCCAAACTGTAACTGTTCATTACGATCTGATAAAATAATTTGTTCGGATGGACTATACATAAAAGAATATTCACAATACTTCAGAAATTTGTATTCATTTTGAGCAATAGCTTCCACTGCATAACATACTTCATTCATTGTGCTTTTAACATTTTTAATTTCATTAACTTTTGGATATAATTCATTCACAGACTTTGATAAGTACTGTGTGTTAAAAAACAAGATTTCTTTACAATAACCTTTTTTCGAGTAAAGATTGTATATAATTTACCAATGTTGCGATATAACTTGATATAGAACTATTAACGCTTTTTGGTAGTAAAAATTCCTCTCGCAGTTGTAAAATAAGCAGAGCAAATGGTTTCTGAGGATGTGGGTGTAGTTATAGGTGAGAGTGAGGATGAGGATGAAGATGATGATGAACTTGAGATCATCATTTAGACTTTTACCCACACCCTTGTCCAGACTGTCATCCGATTTATAGAATTATGCACATAATAAGAACATAAAATATATTCACTTCCTAAAATACAATAAATTAAGCTCATCAAACTACTTGACAAAAAAGGGTGTAGTTGTAAAATTTTGATTTGTTTGAACACATTATTCAGTTATTCCTTTCTGATATCTACTTGAGAGCGATGATTCATAGGTTATCATTACATGTGAACTCGCTCTCATGCGAATACATGAGGTTGAAAGCAACAAACTATTGATATTCTTCACATCTATATTTATATCCACTCAGCTGCACAAATAAGGATATGTCTTTTATAAATTATGGCTCTTTTCAACAATTGCCGTACAATATGACTTGAAGATATTGCTACAACTCATATATTATATGATAGATTATTCAGTAGTTTGATTATATATAAAAAAACAAATTATGATTCAGTTCACAAAAGAAAACGTTATTGTGTCTATATCGATTGATAAAGCTCAGCACTATTGAGAGCACCACCGTCGGATCCACCAGTAAGTAAGACTTTTCCATTTGTTAATGTGGATGCTGTATGATAACCTCGGAGGGTACTCATAGTTGCTGTACTTGTCCAAGCGCCTGTTGATGGATTGTACAATTCACCACTATTGAGATAACTAGCACCGTTGTATCCACCAGCAACTAATACTAATCCATTTGCTAATGTGGATGCTGTGCCATAATCTCGGGTGATACTCATGCTTCCTGTGATTTTCCAAGTGCCTGTTGATGGATTGTACAGTTCAGTACTATTCCGATAAACATCATTGGTGCTCACTCCACCAATAACTAATACATATCCATTTGCTAATGTGGATGCTCCGTGATTCATTCGTGTGACACTCATACTTCCTGTAGTTGTCCAAGCACCTGTTGATGGACTGTACAATTCAGCACTATTGACATAAGTAACACCGTTGTATCCACCAGCAACTAATACAGATCCATTTGCTAGTGTGGATGCTGTGTGATACATTCGTGCGGTATTCATGCTTCCTGTGATTGTCCAAGTGCCTGTTGATGGATCGTACAATTCAGCACTGCTGAGATGTGCACTATTAGATCCGCCAGCAACTAATACTGATCCATTTGATAATGTGGATGTTGTGTGTTGATATCGGGCAATACTCATACTTCCTGTAGTTGTCCAAGTGCCTGTCGATGGATTGTATAATTCAGCACTGTTGAGATAACCACTCTCGTTGACTCCACCAGTAACTAATACTAATCCATTTGCTAATGTGGATGCTGTGGCATAACCTCGAGCGATACTCATGCTTCCTGTGGCTGTCCAAGTGCCTGTAGTTGGATTATATAATTCAGCACTATTGAGAGAACTAGCACCAGCAAATCCACCAACAACTAATACATACCCATTTGCTAATGTGGATGCTGTGTGGTATCGTCGTGCGACACTCATGTTTCCTGTCGTTGTCCATTCTAAACAAGACAGAAAAGCGAGAAAAAAATGTTGTTCTTTTCGTTTCTTCTTAAGATGACGATGAAATCATTCATGGCAAGAGTACTGTTCTTTTAACGAAAGTTTTAGTTAGATCTAGAAAACTGTTGGATGCAAAGCAATCACTCATAACTGATTTGGAAGTGACATTTAAGGAGACCAGAAAACGTTACGCTAAAGCCTACCTGACTGCTGATTTGTAGTCGGTGCAAAAACGACGAAGTTTAACACCAGAGCAAGGGTAACAGCAAAAACTATTAAAATAGTAACGGAAATGCCAATTATTTTAGCCGAACGGCGATGCCATCATTTGTGTGATCCGTTATTTACAGTATCAAGCTCGCTGTAAACTTCGTTTGTCTGCATATTATTTTTGAAATGAAACTTAAATGCAAAAAAAAAGAATGCACTATTATTTAAAGCAACTTTCTGTTTATCTATTACTATTACGTAAGCAAGAGAAGATAAGTAATCTATATTATAATAGACACACTTTCAGTGCGCGAACTTTATCTATATTATAATAGGCAAACTTTCAGTTCAGAAACTTTCATATGATCGGTCAGAAAACGAAATATACATGAGTAAATGAATATATATGTTCATTATCCTACTATCCTGTATTATATTAAAGGATAAAAAAAACGAAATAATAAAAGACGATGAAAAAAATTAATCAAAATTGAAATGAAACAAAGTGAAAAAGAAATAAACAATACAATAAAGTTTTCTAGAATAATCAGATAAATATCAATGAATTAAAATCAAATATAATTCATTCATATATTTATCAGAAAATATCAATATATAATCGTAAAAAAAAATAAAGAAAGTTTTCAATTTATTCTTTTATAAATTCATCTGTATTAATTTTTTTTATAAAATAATTTTCAATTACTGATCATAGAAAGTTATTACACAAAACATTTTTTTTCATTATAAAAACTTTTTATACTTTTTTATTTTTCTATATCTACGTAGATGTATTTTAGTTTTATACATGTGCGTTACTAATACAAATTGACTGCTAAAATATTATGATTGTAAAAATGATATATACTTTTAACGCGCATGACTAAATCTAAGAAGAAAAGAAAAAAAATCTTATTCACATCAAAATATAAATGATTTATTCCATTAATTAATGTTTATTATGAAAAATATTTATATTATATGCGGTTTCAAGATAATTTTCTGATGAATTATTTTTGAACAACAATACACATTTTTTTATCTTGCTTAGTAAATATAATTTCAATATCTAATATTTTTGTATCTTTCGAAGACAATTTGTGTACAATTAGATATCGAATCTTGTTGGTCAAAATAATAATCTAGAATTTTTTTATATCATAATTGTGTATTTTAATTATCTTGAAAGAGAAATTAAAATAATAATAAATATTATTTTGATACTTTCACAATTTCTTTTGTATTATCTATTTTATTAAAATCAAAAAAAATAAATAATAAGTCATTTGCATAGCTGTAGATGTAAAAGTATTTATTTATTCTTAATGAACTAGTTGAGTTAATCTCTATAGTAGAATAAATTCTAGAAAAATAATTATGTGATATCTCTTTTGTTAGTTATAACTTGGAAACAATATATTTCGATAGAAATGAACAGAACAAGAAAAATGAATTAAGATAGCGAAACGATTATATATGAAAGAAAATAGAGAAATACCCATTTGAACATATATGTGGTTCATGTAGCGAACGATTATTTTATTTCTTCGTTTACAACTGGTATAGACAGTATTCTTATTCATATCGAAATAATTACAAAACATCACAAGTTTAGAGATTCAATTGTTTGAAATAGATTCATTTAAGTAAGTTTTCTTTTTGAAATAGTTATAAAAAATGAATATCAAACAATAATTATATTGAAAGTGAGAATGAATAAGAAATTGATAGATTATCATATAGAGAATCAAGTTATGAATGCATATCTATGCTTTATCTACGCCTAGATCTATATTAAAACATTCTTTTATTCAGTGAATATCACACGAATTGTTTTGTTTTTTATTTAAAATTAGAAACACATCAATTTTCATATTTAGTTCAACTATCTCAAATATCACAATAGTTTTGCCAGTGAGATTTCGTTATACGAAAAAAGTTCGTTTTTTCGACTTCTTTTACTACTGAACAATGTGTTTTATTGACATTGATTTATTAAGTTTAGATCCAGAAAAGTAAATAAAATTATATTTATTTCATTGATAGACTTCAATTCAAAGACATGGCAATGGCAAACAATGAAAAACGATGTTTTACGTGTGGGGAAAATACTACACATAGTTGTGAAGGATGTCCGAAAAGGTTTTGTCCAATACATATGCCAGAACATCAACAAAGTTTAGTTAAAGAATTAAATCATATAAGTGATGATTATAATAAATTTAAACAAACAATTAATGAACAAACACCAAATTTACATGATCTTGCTTTAATAAATGAATGGGAAAAAAATTCAATTGAAATAATTCAACGAAAAGCAAAAGAATGTAGAGAAATTGTCATTAAATTATCACAAACACCTTTAAATGATATTGAAAAGAAATTTAATGGGTTAAATGAACAAATACAACAACATCAGAAACAAAATGACTTAAATGAAATTCAATTAAATTATTTAAGAAATCAATTAAGAAGAATGTCACAAGAATTCAATAATCCAATAAAGATTTCTATTGAACAATATTCGCAAACATTTAGTAATAATATTTCAATTATTTTATCAAAGAGTAAGTTTTTAACAAAATAATTTCTAAAAGAAATTATATTTGAAAAACTGTAATACAATGAAAACTTATGATAAATAAGAGAAAAAGCATTGAGAATATTATTGATTTACTTATTTATCAAAGAAAAGAGTAATAAGATATAAAATAATATTTTTCTATGATTTAAGAGAAAAAAAAAGTGAGTTTTATAATATAGCTATAATGATAATTTATCATTTGATTTTTTTATCAATTTTTATTGAATAGACTAGTTAGAAAGGAAGTTTATCTATGTGGTACTTACACATTAGAAAAGAATTAAATGATATATTATATCAGACCTCGAAATCGGACCACTTTTTGATGGCCCGGCCTGGACGGTTGGACACTCTAACCTGGTGTGGATCGGGCCATTGGGCTGGACGGCCCGTTTCGAGGCCTGATTTGAAAATCTTGTTTGTCTTATTATGATTGTATATTCATAGATAGAATTAGGCACTAATATTTTATGATAAATATATGAATAATTTTTATTAGATTTGAGTTCAATAAAGTTTTGTATTCTTTGATTCTTTTGTTTCAATTCGATATCAGTTGAATTTCTTTTATTATTCAACTTTTACTAGAGTTTTTCCTTATTCTTTGATACTTCAACATTGATTTAATAAGAAAAACAAAAAGATCAACATTTTCTTTAAAATCCAACTTTAACAAAAAAAAACAAGCTCAAAATTTCATTGAAAACTAATCGTCAGTTTTTTTTCACCAGAATCTTTTATTTTCATCCTTTGTTTAGAACTAAAATTCAGCAAATGGAAACAAAATGCCATTACTGTGGCTGGTGGAAATGGAAAAGGACAACAATTTAATCAACTAAATTGTCCTGCAGGAATCTTTATTGATAAAAACAAAAATATTTTCATTGCTGATCATTGGAATCATCGTATTGTTGAATGGAAATATAATGCAAAAGAAGGAGAATTCATTGCAGGTAGAAATGGTAAAGGAAGTCGAATAGATCAATTGAACAATCCAAAAGATGTAGTTATCGATCAAGAAAATCATACGATCATTATTGCTGATCTTGGAAATAAACGGGTGACTCAATGGTTAAATCGACAACAACAATATCTCATTAAGGGTATTGCTTGTTATGGTTTGGCAATGGATAAATATGGTTATCTTTATGTTTGTGATATTGATAAGAATGAAGTAAGACGATGGGAGATGGGTGAATACAAAAATAAAGGAATTGTAGTAGCAGGTGGAAACGGAAAAGGAAATCAACTCAATCAACTCAACTGTCCTACTTATATCTTTGTTGATGAAGAACAATCTGTTTATGTATCAGATACAAATAATCATCGTGTGATGAAATGGAGAAAAGATGCAAAAGAAGGAAGAATTGTAGCTGGAGGAAATGGTGAAAGATCAAGTCTTCATCGATTGTCTCGACCTCAAGGAGTATTTGTTGATGATTTGGGTCAAATCTATGTAGCAGATTGTGATAATCATCGAGTAATGCGTTGGTGTGAAGGAAAAGAAGAAGGTGAAATTGTTGTTGGTGGATATGGTCAAGGACATCAAACAAATCAATTAAATTATCCGTGTGGTTTATCTTTTGATGATGAAGGAAACCTTTATATTGCTGATAGAGACAATAATCAGATTCGAAAATATGAAATAATTTCGTGAATGAAATTCTGATTTTTTTGTAAAAAAAGAAAAACGCTTCTTGTTGAATAAAAAGCAGAGAAATAAAAGTAAAATCTTGTTATTAAAAATCAATGAAAAAATCGCATACAATTTGAAGAAAGAGAAATTTGTTGATAAAAGGAAAATAAGGAAAAGTGAATGTGGGTATAGACCTTTTCTTTTTTTCAATGACGCCTACACCCATGTAGGCCTTCTCAGAAATAGATTCAAGAATGAAATCCACTCAATTCTGAAGGTTGTAAAAGTTAAAGGAAATCACTATACTAATGAAGTTCTTAGTAAAATTACATTTCAAACTAGTTTCATTCTTGAATTGCTGTTGTCGAAAACAAGGAAGACGGCTTAAAAAAGTGAACAAATCGAGTTATAAGGTAATATTCTCAGACGTTGAAGCGATTCCAAGATTACTGAGCTATATTTATGGTCAAAGAGATTCGTACTCATAATCTATTTTTGAGAAGATTTAGTATTTTATTCATCATTTGGAGCTAAACATTCCATAGGTGGTTGAGGCGCATCAAAATACCTCTAGAAATGTTTTTTCCAGAAAATTTATTTTCGATGTTTTTTTGACCCTGCGGAGAGACAAGCAAGCAATTAATTTTTACTGGATTCTTCTCTACGAGAAAGAGAATATTCAAAACATCATGAATTATTGGATGATTGGAATAATTATACAATACGAATTCAATTTTTTCATCATATATATATATCACTCTATCAATATTTTATTTCAATTGAATAATGAATACAAACAACTATTCTCTTTCATATTTTTTTAAGAATAAAGATTAAGCAAATTTTCCATTTGTGGAATTTTATCTCTTAATATTCGTTGATTAATTGCAATTGAATCATCATTCATTGTTAAAATTTCTTTTTCCGTAGTTTTTTTTGCATAAATTTCTGCTAAACTAATTGGTTTTTCAATATTATTTCCATAATCTTCCATATCAAGATGTTTACATAATCGACGAGCATTTTCAATGTTTAATTTATCAAATTTATATTCCATAACTAATCGTCCATCACGTAAAAGAGCTGGATCAATACTTTGAATATCACAATTAAATGTACAAATAATTTGTTGATGCATTGCATCTCCAAGTAATCCATCAGAAAGATTAAGTAAATTTGCTACAGCTTGTTTATGTAAAACAGTATTATCTGTTCGATCATGAATAATATTTTCAGCATCTTCAATAATCAAAATTGAATTCGAATGAGAAAGAAGAAATGGTAAGAAATTTGGTTCTGATATTTTCTAAAAAAAATAAACAAATAATTTTCATTTTTAATCATTAATATTTCAAATGAATAACTATAAAAACTTACATGAGCAAGATCAGGTGGAACATAAATTATTTCTTTACTTTTAACTTCATTAATTAAATAACGTAAATAACTTGTTTTTCCTGTTCCTGGTAGACCATGAAGCATAGTTATTCCACTGGATTTATTTTCTTGTAATGTTTTAAGAAGTTTTTTATGAATATTTGGAAATTCATCACCATACTGAAGTTTAAGATCAACAATATCAGGTTGTTTCATTTTTATAGGTGAAAGATAAAAGCTTAGTTTATCATTATAACAAACCATTTGAAGATTAGCTTTTTCTTCGTTATATAATTCAAATTGAGATAATTGTTTTAATACTAGATCGGCTCTCTCAACGGATTGAGGTACATGATAGATCTAAATATGAAATTGATCAGATTATAATCATTACTAACTCATTGAATTATTACTTCAAAATTGGAAAAACAATAGAAAATCTGTTTATCTTCATCAGGTTTTAATTCATTTGGATTGTCCATGGGTTTGCTACTTCTGAATCCATTTTCAAACAATACTAAAATTTTGTAGAAAAGATTATTTTTGAAATTTATTTTTGAAAGAAATTCTTACTTGAAACATAATTACCAAGATCGATATAAATACGAGACATGATTTTTATTTTATTTTTATAATCATATGTACGTTTATAAATAAATGTATTTGGATCAACTTTATATTCATCAACAAGAAATCGTAGGATACTATAAAGAATAACGAAATAATATTATAGTGTTTGGTTATGTAATGAAATAATATACCTTGTTGTATGATAAATACCAGCTTTCTTGCCCTGTGTCGTAGATGTTTGTTCATCATCCAATGAACTTGATATCGTATCAAGATAGGTGTATCTATAATTTTCATATGATTCTCGATTCATTCGACAAGGAAGCATTCGGTATTTTAGTGAAAAAAGGGTTGGACCATGTAAAAGATTAATCTCTACTTGTGTTGTTATTTTAATCAAATCTTCATTGGAAAATGGTACGTGTTGGCATACACCGGAATAATTTGATGATACATGAATTTGTGCATTACTTTGATCAACCATTTTAAAGAAGATAGTAAGAATAGATATGCATTCTGTTGCAAGCGTACATGTTTATATAGAATGCAGAAGTTATATCGATTGCCGAACTTCCGGCAGGCATTTTAGCCGAGGTCATCATATCGACCGTAAAGTTATATTTGTCGCAGGCAAAATTAAATTTTAGACCAAATTAAACAAGCAAAACTTGCTTTTGTTTCCGCGCGCAAATTTGTATTTTTTTTCAATCAGGCAAATTAGTGACAACTGATAAGATAAATAACGTATCGATTGATCAAGAGAAACTTATTTTAAAATATTTTATTGAGTAGACATGATATTCGCACGATCTGAATTGATAAAACTTACTCAATGAGATAAAAATAATCATTCTACCCACCTCACTCATGAAAAAAAAGTTTATGAACTTCTTTAAAACAGTTGTCGTTATATTTTGTTTTATACATCTGCCGCACTCTCCATCTTCTAAAACTATATTCAGTTTATATTGAATACAACTTGCGAACTCTACAACTTTGAAAAATTTAAAATAATAATAACAACTGAATTATTTTTTGAAAATTTTTTAAAATCTTATGATCATAGAATCATTTTAAAATTAAGTTTAATTCTGCTTGACACATATTCATACTTACATTTCTATCACACTTCAAACAAGAAATAAAGGTCAAAAAATATACATCTGGAGGATGTGGATGGGTGATTATGGGTTAAGAGAAGATCGATAACTGCGCCCATAACCACACCACACCTCACCTACACCTATTCGCACCCACCCACGCCCTCAACTAAACTCTGATTGTCTATAGCAATATTATTGAAATAAGATCATCAAAGAATTCAATCGAATGCTACATCATAATTACATTTTTTCTTCAGAGCGAATAAATACGACATCTGTTATTGATAGAAAAATTGTTACTACGACAACTTGATTTTTTAAAGACATGCAAAATATGGATATCCATGCATATTCAAAAATGTCACATGCTAGACCATCATTATTCAAAAGCCTTCAAAATCTGTGGAAAATAAAAGCAAACTAACACTTCGAATGAACGCAAAGAATGAAGTAGGAGAAATTTTATTCTTTTATGTAATTAATTTATCTTATAGGAGCGTCTTCTTAATCAAGATGAGTTGCAAGATCGAACTTATTTTCTTAATATTATTAAGTAAAAAAATTTATTAAAAATATATTTACGAATTATTATCTATTTAGGTCAAAAATATCTGAAGTTAAATTGGAAATTCAAAGATTGCAGCATGAAATCGAATCATTAAGTGAAAATAAACGACAATATATTGTATTGAATAAAACGTAAAAATATTTCAATGAAAATAACATATTCATATATATAACTTATTCATAGTGCTGAAGATTTATCTGAAAAAGTTAAAAATTTACAAAATGATTTAGAAGATTATAACATGGCACGCATGAATTCATTTTGTGAGAAGAAAAAAACTTTTTTTTGAATATTTTATCGAAAGTTATTGATCAATTACAACAACAGGTGATGTTACAAAAGTGAAAAAAGAAATTCAAGATTTAAATGCACATAATCAACAAGTCGAATCATCTATTGAACAAATGTATCTTGAAAAACAAAGGTATTCTATTTTCTTATTTAAATACAATCAGATCTTACAAAATATTACTTATAGTCTGAAATTTTCTAATTCAGAAAAGAAGAACAAATTCAACGACTTGAATATGAACTTACTAATGATAAACAAAAGCTTGACACATGTCGAACAAATCTAGTAAAATTAAAATTTTTTTTTTATCTTTACTTATTTACTTCTTCATTAAAACAGGATTACAATCAAATTAAAACTACATCGGATCAATTGCAATATGAAAGAAATTGTATGGAAAATGAAATTTCTATCTTAGATAATCGTATGAATAAAATGCGTGAACAAATGTTAATTACTGTTACCCAACAAGAAGCTTTATCTCTCATCGAACAAATTTCCGAACTTGAAATAAAACATTATCAATTAATAAATGACAATCAAAATCTTTCAACAACTGAAGAAGCATACGAAAAATTAACTAATCAAATGAACGAAGATAATGAAGAATTAATATTTTTAGAACAACAAATTTCGGAATTATGTAAACATAATGAAAATCTTAAACAATTAGTTGATAATAATATACCAGAACACGAGATAGATGATGAATTATTTTTATTGTATGAACGAATTTCAAATGATATTAAAACTATACAAAAAACTAATTTAGATTTAATAGTATTAATACAAGATAATTGTACACAATTAAATATAAAATTTAATCAATATAAAAATGAAAATGAAAAATCGCATAATACAATAATAATTCTAATTGAACAGCATAGAAAACTTAAACAAGATTATATGAATTTAGAAGTACTTGATAAAAAATTACTAGATGAATTGCAAGAATTAAAAATAAAATATAGTAAAATGCAAGAAGATTTACATAGATTCAATGATTTAGAAAGTTTAAAACATAAAGCTGAAAAACGAAAACAACAATTAATTGCAGATAAAATTAATATGATAAGACAAAAACAAATTACTAATATGGAAATTCAAACATTGCAAACACAATTTGAATCTATTCAAAAACAATTACAAGATAATGAAATACATCAACAAGTGAGTCATTTTTGTCTGTGTACAGTAAAGCAGGGGCATAGGCCACATAGATGTTTCATTACTTTCGAATTCGAAATATTTTTTATTTCATTTTCAGATTGTTAATTTAGAAAAAAAACTTCAAACTGCATCTGAAACATTATTTACTCTTGATGAATTGCAAGCATCACAAAACTTCCAAAATCAATATGAACAAGTCAAACATCAAGCATTGCAACTTGTCGAAAATTATAATCGATGGTTAATTGAACAATATAAAAAATCGTCCATATAATATACCCTTTTTTATTTTTGTATATTATTGTTTTTATATATTATTTGAACAATCAGTCATGTTCATCAATGTAACCTTTAGAATTAGATTATCTAATGTCACAGAGAATAATTATGTTCTAGCACGAGTTGAAAATGAACTTTTGACATGATTCATATTTCAGATCTATAGAAAAGCAAAAGACGACAGACTCATACATCCTCATTCGTCTTGTGACTTCTCCTATTAAATCATAATCTCATTTCTATTGAAATAAGTCAATAAATGAAAGTTATTTTCTTCTAAAGAAGTGTAAGAATCAAATTCAATTGTATATACTTATAATTGTCCTGTATATTTATTCGTATTTAATTGAGCATTAAAAACTAATTTCATATATTTTTACTTGCTAATGGAACATCATAAAAATGATTACATAAGATAACCAATTCTGAATTGAATGTATATATATACAGCTCGATCTCATGTGATCTGGCGCGTGAGAGTTCGAATTTTTTTGTATAATACAACGAAAATACGGGACCAGTGGATCAAGTGGATATACAAAACAATACAATGGGACTAGAAGTTGCTTTCCCATTTATTTGACATCACTATGTACAAAATGAAAAAAGTCTGGAACTTTCAGAGTTTTGCCTGCAACTTACTCGAGAGCTCGTAAAAGAATATGAATCAAAGCGGCTACATATGAAAGGCAGACCATCAATCGAATGTTTTATTCCCGAAAATAATGTCAAGAAACATTGTTCCGCTCACAGTCATACAGTCAAGCGAAAAAAGAACGGAATGATGCAAGGCTTTATTGCCGAGATTGTAATGTTCACATTTTAATAAACCTGACAAAATAAAAAAAATTTGGACATTGACGAGTTTGTATACCTTATTCAAAATAAGCAGATCTTGAAAGGATTAAACTTATAGACTTGACAGGATGAGCCAATATGATTCCAAAGTGTACATAGATTCATCTTTCTCTATGATCCTCATCTACACTTACACCTTATCTCACGCGCTGAATAAACCATGTGTTAATTACATTTACTCTAACATACAAAAAATATTTTTGAATAAAATATTACATATATATTTTTTGTTTTTAAATATATTTTTTGTTCATTCTGATTTGCACTCACGTCTATATACCATTGTAGAGGACATGTAAGCAATTTCTATTGGTTGTTCTTTGTCTATTACCTTGATCTGTCATGTACATTTACATCTCTTTCTTCTTGTTGAATAAAAATGTCTAATACAACTAATATGTTAAATATTATTGAAAAAGATGTTGATAAAGCTATTGAATCTGTTCAAGAATATTATACAACCATTGAAACAAATCTTGATAGTGTTATCGAACAAATTCAATTAACTCTTTCTAATCCAACCGAAGATAAGTTTATCAAAACTTCAATTCAAAATACTTTAAAACCATTAGCGAAACAATATAGTGATAAACATAAAGATTTACATGGTTCAATATCCAAAATTGGTAAAACAATTGATAAAAGTTTTCAATCAGATTTTGGTAATGTTCCTATCACTGAATTATTTGATACACCTGAAAAATTTAAATTAATTTATATGATTATATGTGAAGATCTTTATCGTCAAGGACGTATGTCAATAGCCGATAAATTAATTGAAGAAAGTAAATTAAATGATAATGATTTATTTAATCTTGAAAAAAATTTTCTCGAAGAAATCAATATGATATTAGAAAATTTACGTGAAAAAAATCTTTTACCAGCTATTGATTGGTGTATACGTCATAGAAATGAATTAAATAAAACAAATAGTTTATTAGAATTTTATTTACATAAAATGCGTTTTGTACAATTATTACAATCAGGAAATTTTAATGAAGCTAAAACTTACTTAACTAATTTAAGACAATATTCAATTATGAATGGACAATGTGAACAAGATGTTAATCAATTAATGGGTGCATTAGTTTTTGCACAACGAGATTTATCTAAATCACCATATAAATATTTACTTGAACCACATCTTTGGTTACAATTGTCAGAGTTATTTATGCAACAAGCTTTTCAACAAGTTGGACTTGCACAAGATAGTCCACTTTATGTAGTAATGAAAATTGGTTTTCAAGCTTTACCAGCTCTTATGAGGTAAAAAGAAATCTTGATTTTTTATAGGATAGAAAAAGTTTGCTGTTGAAAAGAAATTATGAATTAGATAGTTAAGTATTAGAAAAAAAAATGATTAGATATTATTATGTCTTGCAGATATATTTCTTTACTTATAATAAGTATAAAGGCAACATTGTTATTGTTTTTCGTTCAGTTGTTTACCTTCCATATACACGCACATTCTCCTTCTATTACTATTCGATATATTCATTCTTTCTTTCTATCGTGTTATATATATATATATCGGTCGATAGAATAATAAACATGAACATGTCGTTACGCTTATCATCGACTAATATCCTTTTCTTATTCGAAAGCAAAGATACTCTTCTATTAAATTTACAAAGAAATCAAAATTTAACATTATTCTTCTTTTTATTTTAGCATAGTGAATGCTATGCAAAACACTCAAGTATGTCATATATTATCAAAAGACGAATTACCTATAGAAATTGATGTTGGTCAAGAACATCGTTATCATAGTGTATTTGCTTGTCCAATTCTTCGACAACAAACAACAGATCAAAATCCTCCAATGAAACTTGTTTGTGGTCATGTTATATCCAAAGATGCACTTAATAAATTATCTATACAAAATAAACTGAAATGTCCATATTGTCCTTTAGGTAAATTCATTCAAAATATAATATATATATATATGTTCATTTCTTTTAGAACAAAGTCCATCGGATGCTCGACAACTGTTTTTTTGAACATAATTAATCCGGTTTTTAATGTAAAATAATGTATTTTCGTCCGTTTTCTTTTTTCGTGTGCCAATAATGAAGATCAGTTATTATTCTCGTTTTCTTCCTTTTAAATATGTACATTTTAAACAGCAAAAAAAAACTAATGTTCTAGATTATATATATATAATGTATAGAAAATATTTTGATCCATTGGATTATAATTTATCGGCTGATTTTCGTCTAACAAAATTATCCGATCTTAAAGGTAGAGGATGTAAAGTTCCTCGAGATGTTCTCCACCGGCTGCTCGAAGGCCTTCAAACAGCCGATAAAAACGGCTATGGTGATGGACAACATCATCAAGGACTCATGCCTGAGTCCAAACCAACACCAGTGGTCGGTATGTAGTTTTTTAAATATTTTAATAAAAAGATGAAACAAGAGAATTTTTTCTAAGAAAATTTTCATAGGAATTGGCCTTGATTCATGTGTGATACCAATACGTCATGGAGGACTTTTTCTGGTACAATCAACTGCATTTTTTTATCCACTAGTTGATGATCCATATGTAATGGGAAAAATTGCATGTGCAAATGTTTTAAGTGATGTTTATGCAATGGGTGCTGTTGAAGTAGATAATATGTTAATGTTATTAAGCACAAGTAATAAAATGACAGAAAAAGAACGAGATATAATAATGCCATTGATTCTTCAAGGATTTAAAGTACAAAACAAAGATTTTAAAATTTCATGTTGATTTTTTTCTTCTTGTAGGAATGTGCTGAAGAAGCTGGTACAACTGTTCAAGGTGGTCAGACAGTCATTAATCCATGGTTAATTGTAGGTGGTGTTGCAACTGCTGTATGTACACAAAATGAAATAATTATTCCAGAGAATGCAATTGTTGGTGATGTATTAGTATTAACAAAACCATTAGGAACACAAGTTTGTTTTTTTTTAAATTTTTAATTCAAAATAATTTTCTTTTTTCATTTTAATTCAAGGTGGCAGTTAGTGCTCATCAATGGCTTGAAAATCCTGATCGTTGGAATCGTATTAAATCTGTCATAAGTGAAGATGATGTTCGTAAAGCATATCAACGTGCAATGAATTCAATGGCTAGATTAAATAAAATTGGTATATTTATTATTTAAATAATAATATATACATATATATTTATTCTTTAGGTGCATCTCTTATGCATAAATATAATGCACATGCATGTACAGATGTAACTGGTTTTGGTTTATTAGGGCATGCTCAAAATTTAGCTAAACATCAAAAACATGACGTTTCATTTGTTATACATAATTTACCCATTATTGCTAAAATGGCAACTATAAGTAAAGCTTGTGGAAATGCATTTGGTTTATTACAAGGTACAAGTGCTGAAACATCTGGTGGTTTACTTGTTGTTTTACCACGTGAACAAGCAGCTGCTTATTGTAAAGATATTCAAGCACAAGAAGGTTATCAAGCATGGATTATTGGTGTAGTAGAAAAAGGTGGTAGAACAGCTAAAATCATTGATAAACCGAGAATTATTGAAGTACCAGCAAAAGATACCGAAGGTGAATTATGGTAAATTCCAATCAAAGAAAATAAATGTTGTCATTATTATTGTTGTTGTTGTTGTTCTTCTTTTTTTTTTGTTTCAATTTTTTGTTTATCTTTATTATGAAGGATTGAAATGAAGTACTAATAACGAATACTGTAGAATATATTCTCTTGCAGTTATTAATCTGATTGTTCCTATAAAGATTAACTTAAATTGATAGATTTTTTTTTGTTTGTTCATACTGTAAGTTTCTGAAAAATAAAATCTTTACAAAGGATTAACATAGACTTTTTTCATTTCATATGATTTATATTAGATTTACTTAAATAAGGTTCTTTTTATTGAGGAATAAAAACTTTCATAAAAATGAACAAAAAAAAAGGAATTTTCATGTAAGATTTTCATCTAATGTAACAATATGTTCTGGTATATAGCCTTGTTTTCCATCACCACGTCTTATTAACATCCAGTCACCAATTGATTCAATTGTATCAACAGGTGTAACTACTTCAGATTCTAATACACTAATATCACCAACAAATTGTCGTTGATAATTCTCAATAACACGTAAACGAGGATTTGAACGACATATGAGTGGTTGTTTATCTAGAACATTGACTGATGAACTTTTACATGAAGTTAAATTTAATGTTTCATAAGCATTTTGATCATATGGATGAAGTGATACATTTGAAATTTGTCGTGATAAAACAGATTCATCTTGAAATTGTTGACGAGTATATGTTCGAGTTTTATTTAAACGTGGACATGTTGATATTTGTAATTCATTATTCATTTGACATGGCCCAATTGATGAAATAAAACGACCAGGTGGTGGTGGTGTCGATATATTATCAGAAGATTTATTCGTAATCGATACACGTGAATAACGTGGTTTATCATAAATACTGACATTAAATAAACTAATATTATTTTGTGATGGTGATTCAAATGATGATTCAGATAATTGAAGACAATAAATAGGTATAAAACCAGTTTCACCAGTTTCAGGTATTTCAATAAATACCCAATTAGATATTTTATAAAGTGCTTTGACAGTTGTATCTAAATAAAAAGAAATACATATATTTTGTATTTACATCTTTGGAATTCTAGAAATCTTAGTATTCACATGAAGAACAGTGAGTCATACGTATGTTTAGATAATTTAATTCTATTTCTGTTTGCTAAACTATTCTTTATTAAAAAAAAGTTATTTTCCCTCAAACTAGAACAGACCCAGCAGGATTATAAATAGCAAAGCTATAAATAGAAAATGAGGAAGTGCATCAGTCTCCTAGGTCTAAAATTCCTTTACATTATGCTAGGCTATGCCCTTGGTAAATTGTGTATATATACTTTTTTTTCTTTCCTTTTAATTGTTCTTAATATACATAATTGTATGTAACATGAAACATTTTTCTATGAATGGCATCAATATCCCCACCGACTGATCATTCTATTTTGTTGTCGAAATCTAATAGTACATTTCTAAATATAAGATTCTTGTTTTGCTTATATCGGGAACTAATGTACTTTTCATTAAGGAATAAATTCGAATGTATGTTACAAAAAGGTTTAATCATTAGCCAAGAAAAGATGAATAACACATGTTTCTTTTTCGCTCAATAAATATGTGTCAATACCTATATATATGTCACGCTTAACATTCTATTTATTTCCAATTAGATAGTCAAGTAGGCATTCAGCGGAAGTAGAAAATCAATAAAACACATATATATATATCTTTCATTATCGATTTAGTTGACAATCTCTTATACATGTGAAGATTAACAATATATGTTGACTTAGATGTGAATATATAAAAGATATCGTTAAAGTGAAATGAAACGAAATATTAAGTGTTAAAAAACAATTAAATGGTCATTCAATGGGATAGAATATGACCATCACTGCTATTTTCTCATAGATTATTCAAGCAGAACAAAATGGCTATTATTGGTACCTTTCGTTACGGCAATTGTATTCTTATTGTATTGCATCGATTTTGCATGTAAAGGTTTATATGATTGTGAAATAATCATTGACAGATTGGCGGGTGATGAAGGCGTTGCACGAGACAGATGTTTACAACTATTCATATTTTCTAACGGTTGTTCATTATCATCATCATCTATGAGCATACATTCCTTTTGAATTGATAGATGAGATAAACTTTTATTTCGTTCTTTTTTTGAAAGCTAAAAATGAAGAATAAAAAGATATTAGTCATACTTCTATATAAAACCAATTAATCATACATATTTATTGAATTTTTTTTCTGTTGGTATTGTTTCTTGTTTAACTGTATGAAAGTCATGATATTTTTCTTTATTGATACGTTTACAAGCACTTGTAAGTTCTAAATATAGAAAGAAATATTTAAATATTTACAACAAATGAATTTTTTTCCATAATATTCGAAAGATTAGCGAGTATAAAAATATTTCTACTTACTTAAAAAATTACACGAATCCCACATTTTTTTCAATGAATGAATAATATATAGAAGATGAGATAGATTTTATACTCAACAGGGGATATAATTATACATTGCTGTGCATATGAAAGAAAATGTGTGTGTTTTTCGATCGAAATAGATTTACCTTTAACATGTTTACGAAATTGAAGGATACGTAAAAGTTTTGTAAATTTTCTTGATTGTTCCATATGTTTTAAACAGTAATAACAGTGTTAAAAATCATCATTCTCATTAGGAGGATATCTATAAATGAAAGCAGAAACGAAAAAAAACGAATGATCATACATCTGTTTCTTTTTTTTTATTTCGTTCGAACCAATGAATGAACGAGAGGAGAAAAAAATGACCTTCAATAAAGTTCATGAAAAAGAAGTAAATTCATATATAATGATCGTAATCCTACGATTTTCATTCCGATCACAAGTCTGGAAAAAGAAGGAAGCGATACAGATATCACCGTTTATAAAAAAACCAACCTTGAACGTGATTGATACTAACAGGTGATAAGCCTACGGGATATGATGATGAAGTTATATATATAGGTGATAATGGGAATTTGATATACATCAATGATTACTATCAATAATACAGATTTATTTTTAATTAAAAAAAAACTATATTTATAATACAGTAACATCCATCATTCCGTTCCAACTAAGTGATTTATGACGATCTAGTAATTGTTCAGATCGATGACGTTTTATCCATATTTGTTCAGTATCTTTATTATTTTCTCTTAATGAACGATATGAATAACATTTTGGTTGAGTTTTAGGTTTTAAATTTGATCGATCTAATTTATCATATGAAAGTGATTGTTGTTTCATAAGAATAGAATAAAAAATGTCATTTTTAGAGAATTGTTTTGATATTGGTTCATCAAAAGATATTTTTAACGTTCGATCACCACATAAGGATACATTTGATGCATGCGATGGTCGAACAGGAAGTGTTGAACTTTTTACTGGACTTAATGCTGGAGAACTTGAGAACTAAAAAAAAAAGTATAAGTTATATATAGGTTAGTAGACGAATTTACGCAATCAGCTAGAGATAGACATTCGAACATATTAATTACATTAGACTAAGATGCATATATAATATTTATAAGCTAGACTCGAGACAAATTTCACTTAGAAGTGAAATCAATGGTAATCTAATTTTTATACAATAAATATTAAGATGGCCTGATTAATATGTAAAGTGCTCTCGACATCGATATCAAAAGAAAAAAACAATTTCGTATTTATGAATCGACGATTATATTCTCTTGAAATATATGAAGAACGCAGTTTCGATTAACATTCTCTGAAAAACTATTTGACTTGTTCTATTTCAATTACAATTATTTACATCAATGCTAAACAATAAATCTTATTTCCTTTAGGAAGTGAAACTACTTCGAAGTAGAAAATTAAAATTCTTACCGATTCAATATTTTGAAGTAAAGTTAGATCTTTCAATCGAATGTTTCCTGGTTTTGATTTCATTTTTGGTGATAAATCTTTTAATCGAAAAAATTCTAATAGTTTTTGTTTTTTATTTAAATGAATTTGACTTGTAATATTACGATGAAGATTTTTTATATTATTATCACCACCACCACTAACATTCGATATACAACTATGTATTTGATTTCCATGTGTTGAATAATTTGTAAGAGATATATTATCACATGAATTTGAAAATGTATGTTGATGATTATTCGATTTTCTTGTCCATTCAGGTTGAATATACTGTGCACAATATTTACTTATAAACGTAAAATTTGAACGAAATATTGAACGAAATCGATCAGAAAAACAACAATATAAAACAAAATTAATGGACGCATTAACAGCTACTAAACAATTGGCAAAATTATTATAAATAAGAACTTTGGAGGTTTGAGCTAATTTAGGAACAAATGATTGAAGTGTTAATGATATAGCTTGAGGAATTTGACAAACAGTAAAAACAATAACAACAGCAACTAAAGAAGAACAATAAAAAAAGAGTAAATTAATAATTAAATTTCTTTTTATTATCTTACTTAACATAATCGTTGTTTTTCGTTGTTCACCTTGACTTCCACGATTATGTCGACGTAAGTGTATACCTTCGTTAGTTTTTTGTATATGCAGTTTGGAACGACGAACATAAGAAATAAGAATTGTATTGAAAATTACAAGTAGGACAAGTGGAATCCAAACAATAGCAAATCTATTTATACAAATAAAATATTTTAATTATTATCAGAATTTTATGAAATTCAAAGAATACTCTATCAAAAAGTCTTAAGAGAAATAGGATAGTCTCAAGTATGACTAATTCTAGCGTAAAATCATATTCAAAGTAGTCAAGTTGTTTTTTTTTGGTACCCAAAATACAAGTTCACCTCTAATATATCACTCATGACTTACAAATTTTTTAATTTCCGTATAAGAAGAAGGCGAAGTCACATGTACCTTTATTAATTGGAAATCTAATCGGATTCATTTAATCTATAGATTCGAAATTATGTCTGCTTGGTTAAGTATAGATAAATATAGAATAATATATAGTATCTTTGCTATGATGAAACTAGAAGAATCCATTAATAAAACAATTATAGAACATTCATGAATGAGTAATTACTACAATATTAATTAGTTTGTCATTTCCACAACTAGTATATAAAACATGGACTTATTGCTCCGCCACAAATTATAATTATCAAGTTAAACATGCTATGTTTATGCGTCGGAAAAGATGATTCGTTATTTCAAATTTTGAACTATTTGTTTGAAAAAAAAATCTCATCACGAAAATATAATTTGAATGATTGGTAGTAAATCTTTTTACTAAAAATAACTAGTTCAGCTTCTTAAATATAATCATCTTTTTTTTTAAATCTAATCTCATAGAAATTAATGATCTACGTACGTAACAAAATTAAAATAAATTTTATGATAAAGTACACTGCTCCCCAATGCAGTTAGTTGAGCTTCAATATAACTTGTATAAATAGTTTCATTCGAAAGATTGGTTTTTTTAATTATTCGTACAAGTTTCATTTCAAATGCTGATGGTAATGTACATAAAAGTGATGCACACATAACACTTAAAATTATTCTTCGTGCTCGATCTATAGTACACCATGTACGACTTTGTAATGGATATGTTATTGCAACCCAACGTTCAACTGTAAATGTTACTGTTAACCAAACACTTGAATTTGATGCAAAATCTGCAATTGGTCGACATATTACTAATAGAACATTGGATATTGTAGTACCAGCAAAGCATGGATTTTGTGCGGTATTAAGTATAAGTGTTAAGACTAAATAGGCAATATCAACAAGAGCTAAAGCTACTAAATAATTATTTGTTGATGACATAATCATACGACGTTTTGTTAAAACAATAATTGCTAAAATATTTCCAGTTACACCTATAATAATCATAAAAACAAGAAAATTAATTTTTAAGAAAAGTTACTTTATGTCAAAATTTGACAGGGAAATATCGATGACATTTATGAATGTTTAGTATATAATATATCAAACTTTGTTTTGTTTTTGGGTTATATAGAAAAGTAATTATTAATGTTTTGACATTCTATTAGGTCCCAATGTATGACATTCTTAGTGAAGTTATTTTCGCTGATATTGAAGTATTTGAATACTTGATAATTACTAAAGTGACCTTTTGTTATTACACATAATGTAAGCAACAAAACTCAATGATTATAAAGAATTCAAAGTTCTCTTCATCTTTAGTACTATCAAGGGAATATATTAACACATGTCAATATTTATTAAATATTCTGTATAAATTAACTTTAATACAGTAGATTAATTTATTATTCAAATCATCTATATACTCATTTCAAAGTCAAGTACTATATTTAAGCGATCTAATGCAGTTCTCTAGATAAAAAAATATTTATCAATATGTCTAATAATAATTCAAAACGGGAGAAAACTTTAGTTTTATAAATTAAATAATTACCAAATAGAGTTATAATAGGCCAGAGCCAATTTTTGACTAATATTCGAACAAAAAATAGATCTGAATCAGTATTTTGTCGAGCTAATATGGATGCATTACAATGGACAAATCCGAACATATCTTCGTATTAATTTTGTCATGTGAAATTAATCAAATAATATTAATTGGTATACACATCATCAAGTTTATATTTTCTTTTGTAATAAACTGACAATGTTTTGACGTTTGTCTATTATCTAGAAAATAACAAGCACAAATCATAATTACCAAGTAAAAATGTAAAGAAAACTAAATAAGAAAAGACAAACAAGAAGATATATATAAATATATTATTGTAAAAACCTACTTTTCTATAACAGATATACTCGTTCTTTCAATTCTAATATAAGTTTCAAGGATAATATTTAATAAACTTTCCATCGCTTCTGTAAATGATAACCATTTCACTTCGAGATATCATAAAAATAAAAATTAATATTCGCTTTTTTTCTATATAGAAAAGGAAAATGTCTATTTTTATGTTCTTAATAATGAACGAGGTTTTATAGTTGATAATTATTAAGCAGAAACTATTTGATATTTAATTGGTTCTATTCAATGACTTACCTTTAGTTTTGTTCAACTCATTTAATCGAAAATCTAATTTACCATGTTATAACATCCTGCGATGATGTCTACATTATTAACAGGCATGACATACAGTTTATATTATTTATTTTTTTATTGTATATCATGTTTCAAATTAATCAAAAAGAAATATATATCTATTGATCGATGCCTTATATAGTATTCGTTTAAATATACGTATAAAAGTACATATGAAATCAATTAATATGCTAAAATTCTCAATCGAATATTATTTACGAATAATAATAATAATATTCTAAGTCGAGTATTTTTCTTACCTATTATATAAACAGGATCTCTTGAGTAAAAAAAACTTCTATTTACTCAATGCTTGATCTGATTACTTTAATCAACATAAGATATAAAGAAAAGAAGTTTTTTCTTTACTGAATCAAGTATACTCTTAATAAGAACGATAGAAACAAACGGCAATAGTATTTTGTCAAGATTTACTTTTCTATTGTTCGAAAATAGCATGTTGAAGAGAAAAAATATTTCTATAGAATCTATATATTATATATAAATGTCTAAAGACTATAGTTTTACTTCGTTTTTTTTTGCTTCAAGCACTCTCAATGTTGATATGCAGTTTCTTAATATTGAGAACAAATGACTAATCTTTTTACACTTATGATAAACAATTATTTTCTCATACAAATTTTTCCTTTTGTGTTACTTACGGAAATAGGTTTATCTGTCATATTCATTCTTGCTTATTCTTTCTCTAACCCCATCTGTTTGTTACTTTTCTAAAAGGATAATCAATATTATAATAATAATAATGCATCACTGGAATGTAGCATGAAATGTCGCTATCCATACTTATTTTGTTTAACTGATAATTAAAAAAAAATGTACATATATAGTTATTTAAGAATAAAATGTAAACAAAGAAATAGGACGATTTATCTGGTATAGTGGCAATTCTACTATGACATACCATTTATTTTAATATCACATGATCATTGCAAAATTTTTGGAGAATAGTGTCTCTGTTGAAAGTCAATAGATATTTTTATGCGCATAAGTGATGTCTGCAATAGACATTCTATCTAATCGAATTGACGTCAGTGAGAAGCTACTACATGACTTAAACGTTATCATATTTGATTTGAAAGAAGAAATAATCAAGCGGGATTCTGCGTGCATGTATCACCTATTGCGTATTCATGCGTATAATTAAAAATATATTTATTTTCATATGTTTAATATCCGAGTGCAAATAAAATAGCCAATAAACAGTTATATAAAAGTATCAAATAAACACCACATTAGGTGATAAAATGCATGGTAATGAAAGAAGTAATATTACTAGGAAATATATATATATTTCTCTCGAATTTTACCGTTTCTTTTGTCTATGAAGAATAATATATATTTTTTCTTTTATGCTTTTAGTCTCCTAGTGTGCACGGTATCGAACAACTGTTAATAGTATTTTTACATTTAAAAAACATATCTCTCACATCCTAAGTAGATTTCGACGTAATACAAACGTAGGAATACTAGATAAAAAATAGAAGTCTTATCTTAATAAACATACTTTTAGAGGATTCTATTCTCAGATTACAAAACTAATTGATATGGTTAGCGATATGTTACAATAGAAAAAATATTAGTTAAATAAATTATATTTTACACATACCATAAATAGCACATACAAAAGATATTTTATCTTTTTCTTTAAATGGGGAACGTATCATCAAAAAAAAATTTTCTTCATTATATTATAAATATCAATCGTGCCTTATTCAAATTCCACTCAATAATAGTTTTTTGACCTCGAAATATTTTTTATTCTACATCCGGATGTTATGATTCTTTTATTAAAAATACTAGTGAATAACATAGAAGTCATGACATTATTTCTATCAGTACAAAATTCATATTCAATTGTTAACTACTAACATAATATGTCTAGCATATTATGGCTATGAATTTTGTATTACTTAGGGACACTTCTATTTTTGCTTTCATACATAATTGAAGATTTTTTCAATGAATATTCTTTCGCGTGATTAATGATATAATAGAAAATATACAATTTTGATATGACAGGTTGTTTATATATATATATATATTCTGAATAGAACTTCGAATGATTTTTAAAGAAATTATTATACTGGAATACTTAATGAACTTTTTCTGTCTGTATCATCTATAAATAGTGTTTGTCAAAAAAAGTGTCACATTATGTTTACATTTATTTTTCTCGAGAATAACTAATGATTCATGAAAAATTAATCAGTTTTTTGAATAATCTATAATGCTCGGATGTATAATCAAATACAATAAACATTAGAATGCTCTAAATTTCGTGTTAAAGTATATAAAATATATATTATTATTATTATTATAAAAGAATTGTAAATGAGAGGAGTTTTCTAGAATAGAAATATTATAAGCTCACTGAATGGGTTAATGAGATTTTATTGGAAAAGATGAAAAGATATTAAAAAAAAACATCTATTTTCCGGTATTTCATTTTTAGTTATTTCTATTTTGATGTAAAGAACAAAGATTAATAAGAACAATAGTACATTACTTACAGTACCAATATCTTCAAACATTGCATGTTACTAATCATATATATATATATATATATACGATTATGTCTTATAATAATCCAAATTCTATCTGATTATGTTTGTTTTAATCAGTCCAGTCAAAGTTCAATCTATTCTAACATAGAGTAAATAAGTTGTCTTCAAGAAAGGACTGGATGTAATGAAATAAAGTTGGTAATGTCGGAATGTTTTTCTTTTGTAATACGACACTATAGTCAATGAAAAAAGGGACCTGTCGTGTAGATTTAAGATCAATTAACGATGTATTAATATAATGAGAGAAGAATTTTGTTATGTCATTATTGTTTATAAATACATTTTGAGTATTTTTTTATGAATAAATGTTCTCATTGTATGATAATAATTTAATTTTGAAATTTTGTTGATCTTCATTAAGTAATACTATTTGACCCTCAATTCTACTTATATAATCAGTTGTTGTTCTATATATTTTTTGTCTACATTAAATCAAGCATATTTCCGATGATAATGTTTCATATTTCATTCTTCAAGGATAATTTCTTGCTGTTGATGAGTAGTAATCATATTAAATTCTTCGGTTTAATTAAATGTATTGCTGAATTACTTTTCTTTGTTGATTTTTAATATTTATTGTTTTAGTTGAATATAATCTATACGCACTCTAAATACTTTTTACTCTTGGTACAACGTGACCTGACATTTATGTAAGAATATGAACATGTAAAAGACAATCACAGATAAAAGTAATAATTATAGAAAAAAAATGTTGTTCGAGGAGTACAAACTTGTATAGCTTTCAGAAGAAATTACGAATGTATCCACTGATCACAAGACACTGTAATTACACATAGGAAAAAGAACCTATATTTGTCTTCATTAATTACATATTATTTGCTGTAAGCATTCATGTATTAAAATTTACTAAAAGATAAATAACAAAATATTGAAGTTAATAAATTCCAACATAATTTGAAGGATCAGATACTTTAAATTAATTAACTATTAAAACATATGAACAGGATAAATTACATAAATCTAAATTGGCCATATCTGAAAAGATCATTTAGTAAAAAGATATTTATGTTGTTATATATGTATAATAGAATATAATTCTATGTTAGAGACGATTGCGTGTGCTGTCAAAATCTATGTTTCAATGAAAGTACTCAAAACAAGTTGTCTAGCTTTGTCAATCAGAACTTATGTTCATGATAATACTTGATGTGAATATAAAAATATCTTGTTTGTAATTGTGTTTTGCTGTTTTAAAATATAACTTTAGTCTAGGATAGTTAATTGTTTCCGATTCCGAAAATGAAGTACTAGAATTTTAACTAAATATATGTCTTTGATCTGAATTAAATTATAACAAACATGATTTATTTGTGCATTATGACATTAAACTATAAACAAGGCATTTTTATTCGAAATTATATCTTTTCAAGTAAATGAGATAATTTTTATATTAATCATTAGTATATTTAGTAACCCCTAGATTCTGAATAATATTTACTTACAGTTGAATACCTCCATAAATCAGAACAATGATCAAATCATAATCCGTCAAAAAATATGCGGAATTACTTTTTGCCATAATCAATAACATTAGAATTATTATAAAAATATTGTAATGTAAATGTGATATACGTCACTGTAACATTATTAATAGAAATAATCTATTTATACCGAATGTATTAGACAAAAATTTTTAATTAACTTTATTTTTACCTAAAAGTACAACAGAATGTTTTGGACACTTTATTTTTTTATTAAAAACCGTGAACTGTCAAATGCAAAACAATTTAATTAACAATATCCTTGAGAGGTTGAAAAAACTCACAATCTAAACACTCTTTTAGCGATTTATGTTAATAATATCAAATAAATAATTCACACGATCACGATTTTTAGTTAATTTTAAAGTATAGAATTAAATTTAGTATTTTATTTAGAGAAAAATATATAAATCAAAAAAGAATTTAAATATCAATTAATTCAGAATGAAAATCTTGATTAACAGTTTCAAAACTATCAGTTGATGAGCAATGTCGACGATTTATTATATGACCAATATTAAAATCTTCCGATGGTGTTAAATGTTCTGCTACTCGTGCACGATATTCAAAATTTTGATGTAATGCATGAATTGATGCTTGACGATTAAGTATATCAAAACCAATATATGCAACTTCCAACATACTTAGAACAACATATGTAAACAGATTTTCTACGCGAACTAAACGACTTTCTCGACTACATTGATAAATATTTAAATAATCACGTTCATAAAGTATTACCATTAAAAGTGTATGTAATGCTAATGTTAATAAAACTAATAATTGCATAGCACCATACCAAGTTATACCTAAATCTTTTCGAACTTTACGTGTTTCCCATTTACGAAGAATTATAATAAATAATGATAAATAACACATAACGATAATTGATATAAATATTAAATGTGTTATTTTAAGAAAACGTAATTGTTTATGTTCATATATACAATGATTGACTGTTCGAAAACATGAATAGATTTGTGATGATATATTATATATTAAAGGTTTTTGATTATATGCATTATAAAGATAAATTTCTGGTGCATTAACATGAAGTGTATTAAAAAATAAAGCACCAGTTTCAACACAAAATAAAACAACGATAAATTTTGGATCCATTGTTTTTTGAGGAATAGTTGGAAGACTATTTTGACTATGTTTAGTCATTGATAATGGTATATGATATTCCATTTTATTCTCAAAAAAAAAGAAAAAATTAATAGTTAAATTAAGTTTATATTACTTACAGTTTTCGTTTCAAATATTTAATAAAAGTCTCTTGTTCTAAACAAAAAACGTTCATAAATCAATTTCAAGCAATTGAATACGAGCGTTTACTGCTTTTATGCCAAAAGAATCCAACGAAATTATTTATACGATAAAAATATTTGTTTTTGAATACCTAAACACAATTGTATAAGTCTTCTTTTATATATTTTTTTAATGTATAGATGTTCTTTACGAACGTGATTTTTGGCCCTTTACTTTAAGACATTCGAAGCGTGTATAATCGTCCGATAATTCATGGTAATGTGATTTTAAAAGTATCATATATTGAAAAGAAAAGACGTACTGCAAAACAGGAAGAACGATCGTATTATAATATCAATTTATAGGGAAAAAACCCTACGATCAAATCTTATGAAATTTGTTTGATATTCAATGCTTGAAAGGTGAGTATGTTCATCGAACTAACTCCTATGGTATGTATATACACAAAAGAACAAGCGAAGAATAGATTAACACTAATGTATGAAAATCATATATAGATTCAAAGGAAGCCAGTTCAAAGTAGATAAGTTACAACAAGTAATCGATACATATTAAAGAAGGCACATGATGAAACAAAACGACATGTAGTCAATCAAGTAGATGTCTGAAGTGGTGCATTTTTTATTATAAAGGCATTTTTTTTTGTTTGTCGTGTTGGTATTGACTATTACAAAGAAAAAAAAAGAACGACAGGTAATAGGTAGATAATTACTGAATAATTCTATTAGAGATATATTTAATTGTAGAATTCTTAATAAGTCCATTAATGAAAAATACTTATTGTTATAAAGTATACTTCAGAAGAAGTATGGAAAAGCAAATTGAAGTTAGAAAAATGTTAAATAATAAGAATTTTTTTTTCATTGATATAATGATGAATATTACAAGGAATATTTTTTTGTGTAAAATCATATTTAGAAAGCTTAGAGCAATATTATTAATTTATGCCTTAGAGATACATATGAAATGAGTTTCTCCTGTGGCATTAGAACTCTAATAATATCATATATAATTTATATTTATTTATGCCTAACATAGTTAAAAATCAGATTACTATTTCCAAAAATTAATTCAAGTCGAAATCTTACATGCTCTTACTCAGCCAAACGAATTGTCTAATGATTTTAACATTGTAAATACGAATGTTATTTGATTAATGTCTTCTAATTTAAAATTTTTCTATGAAAAACTGAAAACAAGGGAAAAAACACATTTCTTTCTTCATTTATTTTATGTATTCGAGTTACTTGAGTGTTCTTTTTTTTCCTTTCTTCTTTTTGAGTAAATAGTCAATATTTCATTATATATATCACTGAAGAAAAAAAAAAGAAAGAAACTCGTCGCATTTCGCGTCGATAGACAAAAAAGGACAATAACAAGTTTTTATTTTGACATTATGCCAAAACAACAATTACTACCATCATCAGAATATCGGTATTTAGAAAAAAATATAAACATTAAATATTATTATTTCTTTTTTTGTATTCTTTTAGAATTTTAGTCTTAGGTGATAAAGCTGTAGGTAAAACTTCTCTTATTGCACGTTATGTTCGAAATGAATTTCCTTATCAAAAACGTTTACATATAAATTCTGATAATTCAACAATATACCAAACAATAATTGATGGAACGGATTATACATTTATTTTTTGTGATATATCAACAATATCAGAATTTGAAAAATTAAAATTATCTGATACAATTCCAACAGCATGTTTAATTTTATTTTCTATAACTGATGAAAAAAGTTTTACACAATTAAATTTTTTTTATGAAACAATTCGTTTAAAATTTTCAAATCAATCATTACATGTACCTATTTTAATTGTAGCAAATAAAATTGATCTGGAACATGATCGTGCTGTTAAACAAGAATCTATTGATAAATTAAAATCAAGTGGTTTTGATGTATATGATATAAGTATCAAAGGAAATGTTGGTATTGGTGATGTTATTTATACAGCAGTCAAACATTTACAATATGATATTTTAGAAAAAGTTAAACCAGATACTGTCTGTGCTTGTATAATAACATAGAATTTTTTTTATTGAGTAAAATAGTATGAATGAATATAATACAGATACAAAAAAAAAGAAGAAATACAAAAATGTTCATGTAGTTTTTTAATGTTTTTTTTAATGACTACCGGCTTGTGTTGCTGCTGCTCGAGCGGCCATTGCCTGTGGCATCATAACAAAATGTTTATAAAGTGATTGAATATATGTAAATACACATTTCCAATCAGGTTTATTACCCATTTCAATCATATCATTGACATCAAGTAATGGTGCACATCCATGATCTCTATTAAAAACAATTTTTCATTATTTTTAATAATTATTATTAACTTACTCAGCAGCTTTAAAGGCAATTTCAAAATTTTTCCGTCTATCTTTTGGATTAAGTGCTTCATAATTTATTGAAGTTGGTAGATAATGATGCACTAAAGCACAAAATGCCATACCATCAGCCCATGATGACGAAAAGTTTGTTACATTAACATGCTTTACATATAGAATATTAATAAATAGATTGATTACATGGACAACAACAACAAATTACTTGGTATCCTTGTGTCGCTTGCTGACACCAAGCAAGAAGACGTTCTTTTATCGTTGTTGGATTTGCTGCTGCATTACCACCTTGTTCGCTAGAAATTAATTTTTTTTGTAAAAACGATTTTTTTTTCTTAAAATTCTCTATAATAATTACCCGCCAGCTTTTGCTGCACCACCACCACCCATAGCTCCTCCTCCTTGATATTAAAATTAAAAACATTTTACTTAATCCAAAACAGATGTATTTTATTTTTTTATGATCATACCTCGAACTAAATTTCAAAAAGAATATATATTAGACGAAAATATTTCATATCTAATCTTTTCTTACCGTTTCGACTAGTCATTGTTGTAATAGAGAATTAAAGATAAAGAATAATACTAAAAACTTATCAAGATATTTATTTCATTAAAATTTACGTTTCACGAAATTATCCAATTATAAAGAGAATGATATAGATAATTTGTTATCCATATGTATGCGGAGGATATAATGCAAGAAATATATAACTAACGAGTGATATGTATCATAAAAAAAACAAGAAAAACAAAATACGGTTATAGGGCAAAAAAAGAAGATCCTTGAATTCTTATGTTAATCAGTTGATATTTATGCTTGAATAAATCCCCCAATATATATATCCAACTTACTCTATTTATTTATTGTTTTCAAATTATCTCGAAAAGTAAACCTACTGATCTATAACTTAGTTGGGGATATATCAAACTGTGCAAAGCACGAGTAATGTATATATATATATAGGAAGGATTTGTATATTTGTTTTCTCAGTATAGAGGCGGAGATACTTCGCAGTAATTATTCCTAACTTCCCTATACTTTTTTTTCTTCTTGTGACATGTCTTTATACAACAGTTTTGTGTAAAAGAAAGAAGACATGTACCCTATTTTTCTTATGTATTTTCCAGTTATATAGATGAGAAAAACACCCAAATAGTACGTTAATATCGCTAAAAATTGTACATTTCCTTTTTGTTTCTTCTCTCCAAGATGATACTAGCAGAAAGCAAAAAAAAAGAAAGAAATGTTCGTCATTTTTTTCCCTCCTACGCATTCTATTATTACAAGAACAACAAGCGTACATCTATAGACAAACATCTGTATTTTCACTAGATGGTTGATTATTGATAAAATAATTACGTAAAAAATTCATTCTTTTTATTACTTAACATTTAGTTAATTATCCACAACCATTACATGATTTTATTTTTCGATAATAAAAAAAACAATACAATCGTTTAATTCACTTATCATAAGAAAAATCTTCATCTCTTCAATTAATCGATTTTTTTTTATTACTGGAATAATACTTGTTTGTAAACAATTTTTTATATTTATATATATATGTACAAAAATATATTGCTAGAGAGTACAATATTTCGCGAGTCTACTGAGAGAAAATAAATAAATAGAAAAATACAGTGATTATATTTTTTATCCCATCCAATTCGATATACACAAAAACAAAAAGAAAAAAGAAAAACGGAATAATTTTGAAAAAAATATATTTATGACTGTCATATTTCGTACGATTTATCTATTGTACTTCTGGTCCTGGTGGATCTTGATTATCACGATTTGGGCCCTAGAAGAAATAATAGGAAAGAATTAAACTAATTTTTTTCCTTTTTTGTATAATTTTACTTGATTAGTTGGTTTACGAAGATCTTCACGATTATTTCGAAGATTACGTGGTCGAAATAAAAATAATAATAAAGCAATAGCAAACCAAATAGCTAACATTATATACATATTAGTAAATCCTGTATTACCACCAGTATTTGGTGCGCCAGGTACTAAATATACATATTTTTTGATAAATAAACATTATATATTTCGATTTCTAACTTACATGGACCAGTAAAACATTCCGTATCAGTACATGTTGTTTGAGCATTACGGAGCATATCAGTCAAACGAGTCATGGCACGTTCATGATTCATTTGAAACATATTCTAAGAAATTAAAAAAATAGTTGAAACAATATTTTTCCAAGACAAATTCCTCACAATGCATTCACATGGATCAAAGCCACCATCGCCGGGATTGCCACCTGCGCCGTCCATTATCTGTTTAAAAATAGATAGTAAAAGAAAATTTACAAAAGAGGAATATTTACTGTAAATAGAATTAGAATGTAGGATGAAGAATAATAATATTTATCGCTGTAAAATAATCTGAAAAATAATCGATGTTTTAATATATTGAAAAGAAAAGAATGCAATGATAAGAGACTAATCGTTTTTTTTATATTACTGTAATATTGCAATCGGAATGTCTATTTATGATAGGGCACATCTGATGACGAAAAAAGTACACTATAAAGTCAAATAGATTTGGACCAATCAATATCAGCCATGAATCCGTTTTCCTGTGACAAATAGAATGAAAGGCTGTTTGGTGATAATTACAATAGATATCGCTACGTGTCGTATAATAGTATATAATTAAAAACGTGACAAAAGTAAGAGGGGAAGGTATATTTTCATTGAAAGTGCAATAAAAAAGAAGGCGTATTATAATTATAAAGAAATTGAAATAGAATGAGAAATTACTAAATTATTCATACAAGCATAAATTGAGAAAATGAAAATGCCTAATGAGTTTTTATTTTATATATTATTATCATCATCCAAATATCGTGCCCATTCAATAAGATTCATCCATTCTCTAGTCATATAATGAAAACTAATCGATAATGGTGAACAACAACTAAAACCTGGATAAGATTCTAATGTATTATAATCCACATACCATTGTGGAAAATCCATCTTATACATTGAAAGAAATTCTAGTGGATAAAATCGATGATGATAATGATCAAAAGCAGCATTTAAAGTAATATTTAATTGTTGTAAACATCGACTTACATAAACATCTTCCATACCTGGAACATACCATTGAGAGCAAGTTGTCTGTAAATTTGGTAACATTCGTTGAAGAGCAATTGTATTTATTGCATAACCAGCACCACCACTCAAATGAACAGGTGCAGCAGTTTTTGGTTTAAATACATGTCCATATACTAATGGTTTAGATGTATACTGAAGTAAGAGACGTAAATGTTCCATAATAACATATGTATCATCATCAGCAATAAATAACCAATCAAAATCATATGGCTGTGGTTGTTGAATTATAACATTAAGTGCATCAAATACTTTAATACTTAATTCAGCATAATTATCACCAACATCATTTAAATTAAGTATAGGCAATGTTATATTACTCCATCTAGTAAGATTTGTTGCTACTAAAAATGAATGTTTATCACATCGACTTGCCCAAGTTTGATGAATAGTTAATGCTCGTGTTTCTAGATTTTGACCGAAAGTTTTAATAACACAATAGATACGTTGATGTGTAGGAGATTCAGAAGCTACATCAGTTGGTAAGAATAAAAAGATAAAACTAAATAAATATAAGTTTGTCAACATTTAAAAAATATGTGTCCTTTTGCTTCTTCAGTCACATTATAAAATCAACAAATTGCATTTTTTTTCTTAATCCATAAGAGAAAAAGAACGATAATTTATGAAATACAAACAATTTATAAACGCACATGGCTTTCATGAACTCAATGAAATTTATTTATATAATAAAGAATATTTTTTTCGTCTTCAAAAAAAACAACACAACCGATAATTAGTATTAAATATCGTTATTTTCAAACAATAGTTTGTTTTAAAATTGATGATAATGGTTTCTTTTTTTGATGTTGTTGAAGTGATTTTCGAATATCAGATGGTAGTTTACCGTAACATGGTTTACAAACAGGTGTTGCATCAACATCGAAAAATTTACTTTTTTCATTCATTTTCGTTTCACATGTTGCGCAAGTAAAATGATTAGTACAATATTTCTTATTGCATGCTGTATATGCTAGAATAAAAAATATATGTATATAGGAGATTTTAAAGATCGAAGATCACGGAAATAAATGCAATACTTTATTACTCAGTATAAATGATTTATGCAATATGATATAGTGAAATTAGAGACATCGCTCAGCATGTTAAGCAGAGGGTAATTGTATTAAAGTAACTACAGATAGTTTATGGGTTCAACAAAGAAGAATCTCTTGGGAAAATATTGATTTCCGTACTTTCTTTAAAAACTAAAAAAGCAAAATTTATTTACCTCCATTTGTAATAGTTCGATTACAGATAAAACATGCTGAACCAAATAGAAAATGATAATCCGCTTCACAATAAGCTAAACCTTTATGTTCAAAATGTTTATTACCAAGAAATGGTTGAGCACAACGAGCACAACAAAAATGCTTAAACAAAAGAAAAAATTCATCAATCATAATTCTCGTAATAAATATGTAAAAAAAAAGAAGAAATCAAACCTCGACATGCCATTGTTTTCCCAACGCACTAACAACCCGATCATCAATTAAACGTCGACAAGCCGCACATACAGGTAAATCAAGTTTATTATGACAGGATAGACAATACAATAAACCACGTATTTCTCGTGCATTCTCATCTAATTCAATTCTATAAAATACAAAAGAAAAAGAAAAACTTCTAAATTCCTGATTTTCTTTTCTCCTGTCAAAAAAAGAAACTAACCGACATGATGAACATTGAAAATGATAAGCATGATAACATTCACCTTTGTATTTTATATATTTATTCTCAATCATTTGTCTAATCGTAAAAGAGAGAGAGAGAATTATTTATTAATAAAAACGAAAAATGTTTTGTTTTTCGTATAACTTACTGGCATGTTGAACAAAAACGTTCAGATGTATTTGAATCTTTTAGTTTTTCTTTTGTATAACATTCTCGACATAAAGCTCTAGATAAATAAAACGCTTTTTTTCGTAATGTTATTCAGTAAAAATTAATTTTTAACCTTCCATTATTTTTCGAGAAACCTATATCAAGTAATGGTATATGGCATAGATAACAATGAAAACAATCTGGATGAAAACATTTTTGAAGTGCTCGAATAACTCGACCAACAATAGGATGTTCTACATAAAAAAAATATAATAATTATAAAAGAAAAAATAAAAATAAATACTAACTACATTCAGCACAACAAGGTGCAAATAACATTTGAAAATCTCTTTCACAATATTTTCGACCATCATGCTAAAAATATTATTTTAGAAAAAACAATTAAATATTTATTTAATTTACTTCAAAATAAAGTCCATTTTCAAATGGTTGAAAACATTGAGCACATCTAAAAATAAGAGAAAATTTATTATATTAAATTTAGTTAGGAATAATTACACAAAACATTGTGTATGCCAAATTTGTCCAGCTGCATTAACAATTTGTTCGTTAGTAGCAAATGTCTGTTTACAATTCGCGCATATATTATCTGACGTCATCAGTCTATAATAAAGAGTGAATAAAACTTATTATCAGAATCAGAATAGTCTTTACCGAAATTTATTATTTAATTGAATATTATCATTCTTTTGATTATTATCTTCCGTTAAATTTTGTTTAGAGATTTTATTCTTATATTCTTCATTATCCAAATCAAATGCTTCAAGTAAATTATTTAATAATGCAATACTAGTTGATATACTATTGTTAGTTTCATTAATAGATGGAGTTCGTTGATATTGAGAAAGATTAGTTAATGATCTTGATGATGACATTGATGAAGATATATCAGCATCATTTGATAATGATATTAAATCTGCAAGTGCATTGTTAAGTTGTGCTTCTTTTGTAAGTATTTCACTGAAACATTTATTGTGTCGTTTTGATGTAGTTGAATCATTACTTTTATTACGTGCCAACATTGGTATGATATTATTATTATTATTATTACTTTCAATACTGTAATATGATGACGGCGATGATGATGTTGGTGGTGGCTCTCGTTTATTGCGATCGTTATCCAATGTGTGAGGTATTTGTTCTTTCTTTGTTGTTTCTTGTTCTCTATCTCCAATGAATTGATCTTGATGTATTTTTTCTATAAGTGTTCGATTATTATCGTTATTAAGAGAAGTCATTGACAAAGAGATATTATTGTCGTCGTCGTCGTTCTTATTAACCTTGATTCTTTTTGTTCGAATTACGGACATTTGCTGGTTATAATTAGAATCTGCTTCATTGGTGACATTAACATTGTCGATCGGTGAAAAATCATGTGAGCTTACATATGGCGTTGATGCCGTGCGTGCTTCATATTTTTTTATTAACTCAGAAACGGCTGAAGTAGTTAATGTTTCAATTGAACATGATGATAATGGTGTTGGTGATGGTGATAATGATGATGGTGATGATATACTCATTAAATTATCATGTGTTGCACGTCGATGTGGTTTCATACGAGCTATAGCTTCTGTTAAATCTTGTTGACTTACACAAAAACGCTGTTTTTGTTCTTGTTTTATTCTTTGCTGTTGTAAACGTCTTCGTTCCATATATATGTGATTCTCCTTTTCTTCTTCTTTTGTATTAATTGAATTACAAAGTCAATGCGTACTATATGTATTTATATATTCTGATATGTTTGATTACATGATCAATTTAAAACTGTTTTTTTCTTTTCTTTCATCATTAAAAAAATCAATTTAGTAAAACTTCCGAGCATAAAAAAAAAGAAGAGCGAAAAGAAGAAATTTGATATGATAACAGAACAATGCTGTTGCTGCTGCGCAATGGTGAAATAAACGAATGATCATCGATTCTGTTAATGTATGAAACAGAAGTTTGTTACAGAACTTCTCATACGAAGCGATCGTTCAAGTAATATATAATCTCTTTAATATAATAAAAATCACATGAGAATGTTCATAATTAGAAGATATTCAATAGAAGATCTTTCATCATATCGATTATCAGTGAAGTTTAGACTGATATGCTTTCGTCAATAGCGAATGGTTTATTAGCCAAGAGACAACAATCCAGGAAACTATCAAGCAGTGTTGATCTAATTTGTATCAAATTATTTTTAATAGAATTGAGGTTCAGAAAGTCATATTATTCGACATTAATTTTGTTCAATATTTCGATTACGTTATATTAAGATAAATCATGAGGTCGATGATCTTACCTTACTTATTGATTGAAAAAAATATTTTATACTATCAGTTAAATAATCATTCATATAAATTCTTTTAAAATTGAAATATTCTTGCATAGTAAAAGTTTATTACAGTTTGAAACAAAAGGCACACGATAAGAAAAGAAAAAGAGAATCAGTATCACAGTTTTAAATAAAGCCTAGAATTTTGTTATTGAGTTGTTGCTTGAGGCTGATTTCGTTTTGGTGTTTGATCATCTGATTTTAAATCAGTTGTAAATATATTTGGAATTGAATTCCCAAAATAAATTTTCGTATTTTGTGCTATTGCATGATACATTGACCATTGAAGGTATTCAGGTGATAATTTGACTTTGTTTGATTCAGCTTCTGTATCACTTTTATATTTATTTGCATCAGCTAATGAACGTTCTCTAGCTAAATGCATTTCAGCTTCAATTTCGGCAATTTTCTTTTCACTTTCTTTGCTAAGAATTTTTTGTTCATATTGAATTTTAGCTACTTGTGCTAATTTTTCAGCTTCAATAATAGCTCGACGACGATCAGTTTCAGCTTCTTTTTCAACAACTTGTTGATGAGCAGTTGTAATCATATATCTAATTTGAATTTATTTTAAGATTTTTTTATTTGTCTCATTAAGAATAATCAAAAATATGCTTACTGTGTTTTTTCTTGTTCCATTGTTTCATAATTTCGACGAATAGCTTCAGGAATTTTTGGTTTTGTTACTATGCAATAGAAGAAAAAAACAAAACACATAATGAAATTTATTTTATTTCAAAAAAATTTCTATACCTCGAACTGAGCTAATATAAAGACCAGGTGCTAAAATATTTAAATCAACTTGTAATGTTCGTTTAAGATGATCATCAATACTGGAAAAAAGATCAATATAAACTTCTTGAAGTGTATGTACCGAACAGAACTGATTAACTTCATGATGAATTTTATCAAAGATTAATGTACGATCATAATAAACTGTATAATTTCGTACAATATCAATAACAGCATCACGATTTAAAATATTAACAACTTCAACTTTATCAAAATAAATCATTGTACCACCACTTGTACCACATGGAATATTTTTAACTATAAAAAAAATAAAAGTTTATGTACAAAAGAAAAGAGTTCATATGATCATATATTTTTTCTAATGATCTATACGATTGAGATTATTATGTTTAGAGTTAATTCTAGAAGCATTTCCATTCTATATTTCCAGCAATTATCAACTCTTTTTGTTTGTGGACATATATGAAACTAAGAAATCAATTAAGAAAGAACAAGCAAAATCTAAAATCCTACTAAAATTCTTCTAAATCATAACTTATACTTTTTGTTAAATTATATATGAAAAATATGTAATTTCATAAATTATTCGACGAGAGAAATAATAAGTATGAAGAGATATGGTAGTTTAATTTTTCATAGCAAATAATGATTTTATAATTTCTATGTACGTTTCATTTTTCTTGACATTGAATGAAGGACAAAATAGTACGAGTTCTACATACACTGGCTAAATATTCGTCTGAAATACGTCATTATCAGTAGAAAACTATTATTTACCTTCATCTGTTTGTAAAGTAGTTTGAACAATTTTTACTGATGTGATAAAAGGCATCATAACATGATAACCAGGTGCAGTCATCGATGTAAGAAGAGCACCTCCTCTACAATAGAATTATATGAATTATCTGATAGGAAATAGTGAATTTTTTTTGCTGTACCTATAATATATTCCAACATGTCCTTCAGGAATTTGATGAATACCTAAAGGAATGATTGCGGCAACTATGCCCAATGCAACTAACCATTTGAGTACCATTGCTATGAAATGAAATAGATTTTTTGAAATAGGTAAACAAAAAAGGAACACGACAATGATGAGTCATTGTTATTTACGGATCAATAAGTAATATTTTCTGTGTCATAAAAAAATATGTATTCCGATCTAATGATTGATCATTATCATTTTGAATTACTTTTTTCTTATTGATAAATATTTTTTTATGAAAATTACAGAGTTATATCAAATATGAATGCCATCTATCGGAACGTTTCATAAAACACCAATTCTTAGACATATATTATTTTTCGTTCTTTTCTTTTTATTCACGAATGCTTGTCTGGACTTCTCTTAATTTACATGACAACATATTTGGCAATAAACAAAGTTGTCATGTTCTATAAAAAACAAGAAAGAAAGAAAAATATCTAGAATAGAACTAGATGGCACACTGGTATAGACTCTTATGCAAAATATGAATACAACTAATCTGACTCAAAAGTACTTTCATTTATTATAATTATTAAGTTTACGATTGTTTTTCTCAAAGTACTGAGTGTATCCATATCCTCTTTCTATAAATATTAAATCAATTTCTTTTAAAACAGTCGGATAGCTTCATTCTGTTCTCAAGAAAAAGAATTTGTCACCTTTAGAAATAGTCATTTAGACAATCAGAAAATGAGTTTTATTGAAAATAGTCAACTAATAATATCCTTTCTAATTATTTGTTTATCAATGGTATCAACTGTTCTTTAATATCGGAACAGAAAGAATAATTCATTTTATTGATAAAATAAACTTTTTCTCTCTTTCTATTCTTCTATGTTTCTGTTGAGCATCTTTCTTTCTTATTTAACACAATGTAACTGTGAAGGCCTTTTCTATAAGACATGTCTTCACAATATGTATTGTTTCCCTTACCAGTGAGTGTTATTCTGTTCTCAACAAGCACAGAGGTTCAATCAAGATATATTTTCTTTTTTATCAGTTTTATTTTACATTTAAAAAAAAATACAGAAAGAAATTATAATTTCTTTTTATTGCGTTCGAGGTTTTTTCTCCATTTGTGAAGATTCAGATGATTTGTTGGTAATGATTGTTGTGCAATTTGTACAGCATGTTCATAAAATGAATGAGCTTTTGAATAGTTGCTCATGTACTCATACACCATACCGATGTTGTTATAGGAAGCACCTAAATCGAGATGATTGGAAGGAAGTGATTGTTGTCGAATTGCAAGGGATTTTTTCGTAATAAGAAATAGCGGCGGAGCCAGGATTTGGTGCTAGGTGGGGCTTAGCCCATCAGTTTTCAGAAGTTCGACCTGGAGTAAAGCTAACATATTTTTTATTACCTCAGAGATATTGTAAATGTTTGAAAGAGGTAAAGTAGCTTTATTTAATAATACTTCAGATAAAAAAGTAAATAGAAAGAACTCAGACGATAAGGAGTTTCACTTGACAGTGGTAATCTAATCAGGGGCGGTTTCAATACTGCTGGGATTGACAACTACGAATTTGATAGTTCGTTAGGTATCTCCACAATTAAGAATATATCAGAGGTTCATTGCCCGAAGCATCAATACTGTTCGGAATTGATTTAGCAGAGGACTTTACAGGGAACACCTAACTTGAAAGAAGGATATCACTTGTATTTTTCTTTATCTGAGTTTGAATTAGAGGTGACAGTATATTTAACGGAACAAGAGTCACAGTAACGCTATCTATAAGTAAAGAGAAAGAGGAAGATGGAGATGAAGCTAAAAATGCCGCGTGATGAATATTTGAGTCAGAGACAGATGTACTAATAAATCGTTTAATATTTTCTGATTTATCCATGTGAATCTTTGGCTTGTGAATCTAACGATAGTAAGACCAAATTCGTGGGCTTTTTGTTTAATTTTCCAGGAGAAGAACTTATACTTGTCAGAGGGAGATTCATCTAACTGATGAATATTAAATTTTAATCTTTATTTCAGATGGGATCTATATATAACTGAATGAAATAGAAAAAGAACAGTGATACCTTAAAATAAAACAGACGAAAAGAAAAAAAATGTAGACTATGACAAGGGAAGAGAAACGTGTGGAAATGCCTTGAAATGAAGGAAAGAAAAGAGATATATGTTAATTCAACGTGCTATTTATGTACCTTAGCAGAACAAAAAAAAAGAGAGAATAGGAACATACCAAACATACAAGAGTCGCACATAAAAATACTTCTATTCATTTCTAATTCATGTATGCTACTACGAGCGCTAATATTTTGCACGAGAGATCGTAGACTAACTTCTTTTTTACAGCTCTCAGTAACAAGCAACCATTGCATTAGTGACACTGATACACTAAGACAATATAGTGATCTAAATTGAAAAATAGAAAATCTTGCATTAGATTATCTATGCAAATATTAAATATAGCTAGATATACTTCTTTATATAGTAGAAAAGGGGAAAAAACTTTTATTTTTCATAATATAATTAAATAAGAAAGTACCGTTGAAAGTTCTATTTCAGAAAAACGTTTCAAAAAACTTCCTAGGTAGAGCTCAAACCTTTCTGGGTGAGGCTTAGCCCCGCCTAG